TCCCTTAGCTTGCGCAGCAATCCAAGTGAACGTGAGATGTTACATCTTAAGTTATTTACATGATTAGTCCAACCTAAAAACTCCTCAAACCATACTCCAAAAAATTTGTGTGCCCTAGGAGACTCTATTGTTGAATTTAGAAAGTGGATATGTGCTTTATACTGTAACGGTTTGTTCTTTGATCTAAATATTACATATTTTGTTTTCTTTGTGTTTAATTCTAGCTGATTTGACTCTAACCATACAGATAGTTCATTAAGCCAGCTATTTGCAGTTTTTTTAAGCTCTTGCAGATTATCTCCGGAAAAGAACACGTTAGTATCATCAGCATACAATATAATATAGGGAGTAAGCGGCACATTAACAATATCATTTATATATATTAGAAATAACAAAGGTCCAAGGATGGAACCTTGTGGAACACCTAACTGTATGCAGGAAATCTGCGATCTAAAACCATTCAGGACAGTAAATTGAGTTCTATCTAATAAATAGTTTTTTATAAGGTTAAGGGCGATTCCCCTTACTCCATACCGTGGTAACTTTCCTATAAGAATGTCATGTTTTATAAAATTGAACGCTTTGCGAAAATCTAAAAATATACCGAGTGTGTAAAGGCGAGACTCAATATTACTTATTATTTCTTCATGTTCAACAAAGCCGATTCTGTGGATTTTCCTTTCTGGAATCCATATTGACAAGGCGTTATGATGTTTTTGTCAAAAATATATTTAGAAAACCTACAGTTTATCACTTTTTCAGCGACTTTTGAAAATAATAGCAGTATCGAAATTGGCCGATAGTTATTTAGATTACTTAGCTCACCTCCTTTACGTATGACACACACCCTAGCTATTTTCATTTTATGAGGAAATATGCCTGTTTCAAGGATTCTATTACATATATGAGCAAAAGGATAACATATCAGGGCCCGTTTGCTCGAAGCTGGTTAACTAACCGCGGTTAACCGGATTTCCCTACGACGGGGAATTTTGGGTCACGTGACCGGCAGAGTAAGGACGGCGGGGAAACATGGCGGTGCCCCGGTGAGTGAGCTCCGCTCGCTTTGGAACTAATACGTCGCAGTAGCTGCAGTAGCGGGCGCGTTAGTCAGCAATGAATGGTGCAGGAGGTTTTCGCGCTGCATTACTTCACTTAAAACGCAAAACATGAGCAATGACCTCGCCGCATTTTTTAGATACACTTTCGACTCTGACCATTCCTAAGCCTAAATGAACGCGATAGTTGTCGGCATGGCAACGTTTTTGGAAAGTGGATTGCCTTGACTCAATCGGCCGGGTATTGATAGCACACAGAAGCATGGAGCGTTCCCATAGACCTCTTGCTAAATTTCAAAAGCACCGAGGTGCATGCTACGAGTGTAGTTACACGCGCTGCACCTGCTGGCGTCTGCAGTAATAACTGTTCTGAAGCAAAAAGCCTAAAACAAATGTTGCCGTGCACGGGCGTTCGTCAACGATTTATTATGATTATTTACTTCAAATCTTTTATAAGTGGAAGGCCAGCGCGCGCGGATCATAGAATTACACTTCCAGCGTTCTTCTCGATATTCGGGTAATTTAATAGGTCAATTTTCAGTGGAGCCAAGCTACAGGTTTTTCAATTTATGAGTTCTTACATGCTGGCCAACCATGCTGCCGGTGTACCGCCCGCCTTTCACTGCTCACTTCTTTCTCATCGTTTTTAGGACTCAACTTCGTCGTCCTCTTTCGAAGTCGGAAGGAAATTTCAACGAGGCTTTTCTTCACTTCATACAGCCAAATATTTAGAAAATTTCCAAACAAGGGTTAATTTAGTTTTACCTTGCCAATTATTTGTACCACGAGCAATAAAAATGGTTTCTTAAGCTCAAATGTATGCCACGCTGTGTCGCGAAAACCAGGCAGCGCGCATTTTTTGGGTCCCCCCATTTCGGGAACCTTTCCACAGAAGCCACTTATATTCGCTACAGCCAGTAGGTGACACCAGCCACCGCCCCATAATAAAACACGGAGCTATCGCTCATCCAGCCCTCTTCAAACTTGGCTAGGTACTTGTAGGTACCTAGTAGGGAAGGTCGGTTAACTTTTAACTGCGGTTAGAGTTAACCGGCTTCGAGCAAACGGGCCCAGGTCGTTTATTGCTTTGATGGGAGCTACAGTCAGGTCGTCAAAGCCTGACGCGGTGTTGTTTTTTAATGAGATAATTATGTTTCTAATCTCGATGTCAGTGGTTGGTGCCATAAAAATAGAGTTTGTTTGATTCATATTAATAAAAGTTTTATAGAGATCGCTGTGAGTTACTGAAGGAGCACTAGCGCCAGCAGTCAAAAAATGGGAATTAAACTTTTCAGCCAATGACTCGTGCGAATAGGTCTTACCTTCAATTGTTAGTTCGTTTGGAATGACTTTGGGAACTGACGATAATAGGTCTTTAGCTATACTCCATATTTTTTCAGGGCTATCTTGGACAGATAAAAATTTATTTGTGTGATACGTGATTTTTGCTTTCTTTAGATCTGCAGCTAGTTTATTGCGCACTTTTCTGTACACGGCTAGGACTTCAATGTCTTTAGTTTTTATGAACTTATCGAAGAGCTTGTTTCTCTTTGTTATTCTCTTGTGTAATTCGTAGGTAATCCATGGTTTCTTTGATTTATAGTGCTTCTTGTAATGAACTAGAGGGAACGCTGTGTCATAATGTCCTCTTATCTTGGCTACAAAGTTGTCGTATGCCTTATCAGAGTCCAGTTCGGATAAAACGTCGTCCCAGTTATCGCTTGAAACGAGAGTGTAAAATTTCTTAGTATTTTGGTTACCCGTGTCGCGGTATGCTATGCTCTCACATGGGTTTGATCTCTTGTTTCCTGAGTAGTCGTAGTGTATAAAACAGAATATAGGAAAATGGTCACTTAAATCAACTGAAAATACACCCGCATACGCGTCGTCAGTTTGGCAGTTGGTAATACAAAGATCAATTAACGTTTCTGTATGTGATGTTATCCTAGTAGGCAAATTAATCAAGTTTTCACAACCGCAAGACTGCATCATTTCAAGAAGTTCAACCTTTGAGGGGTCTTCAGACAACAGATCTACGTTTAAGTCGCCTACTATGACAATTTTCAAGTTATTGGATGTAATATAATCTACTAAATGTGTAATAAAATCAAGAAAAACTTGCAATGATCCATATGGTGGTCTGTATATTGCAACCACAACCATTTTACGGCATTTGGCAACTAACGATTCATAATTATAGTTGACACACGTGAACTCTGAAACAATTTCATATGTAAGGCCGTCACGAAAATATAGCGACACCCCACCCCCTTTCCGGTTTTCACAATAAATTCTCTCGCAGGTATAATTGTTGAAGCTAACAGCATCGCCAACCCCAGTAAACCACGTTTCCGTAAATGCCAAAATGTCAAAGTTATGATTCAGCATATTCATGAACAGTTCAATTTCGTCATTTTTATTTAGTCCGGAAAGGACTAATGAGTCTCAGAGCCCTTTTCTGTAATCAACTAAGTGGCTCTAAATACGTAGTATATGCTCCACCCCAAGACTCTATACAGTAATTCAAGTGACTATGTACAAATGCAAAGTATAGAATGCGCAGTATAGACGAATTAAAAAACTCCTGAGCCTTTAGTAGTGTGTAGCAACCGTGTGCAAGTTTTGTGCTTATGGTTTTAATTTGATTCTTCCAATGCATATTGGTTTCAAACAAGACACCTAAATATTTTTAACAGGAAACATGCAGCAACTGCACGTTATCTAAGTATATAGCTAGTTCTTCAGAATTTGTTTGCTTTCTCCTAGAGTGAAACAGAGTGTACTTAGTTTTTTTTAATGTTAAGTGTGAGTTGGTTACTAGTGAACCACGTTAAGACCCTTGTTAATTCTTCACTTATTTTACCTTGTAGTTCACTTCTTGTGGCCCTGAAAAAAACTAATGCCGTATCATCAGCATACATGAGTGCTTCAGACTGACATAAAACAAGGAAAATCAATGATGTAGAGAGAAAAAAGAATGGGCCCCAAAACAGAGCCTTGTGGTACCCCTGTAAGCACTGTTTGTGGTGTGGAAATAAAATTATTAATCGTTACACACTGTGTTCGTTTAGAAAGATAACTTTGAAATAACTTTAATATCTTTCCCCTAAAACCATACTCATGAAGCTTGTTCAATAGTATGGTGTGATTAACTGTATCAAAAGCCTTACTTATACACAAAAAAACAACCACAGCAATTTTATTTTCATGAAGAGCCTCATTAAGAAGCCGGGTTAACACAAGTACAGAAGACAAGGTAGATCTGTTTGGCCTAAATCCGCGCTGACCAGGGCAGAGAATATTGTACTAACTTATAAATTCCCTGAACGAGTTTACAAATTATTTTTTCAAAAATTGTATTAATTACACTCAATACTGATATTGGTCGATAACTAGACTTCTCGAAAGTATCTCCCTCTTTAAAAATTGGCACAACCTTTGCTATTTTGAGCTCATCAGGGTATATTGCGCTTTCCAATGAATGACTCAACAAGTGTAAAAAATGAACGCCTCAAATATCTATATTATCTTTTATTAATTTTACTGGAACGGTATCGAACCCGGCCGATTTGTTTACTTGAAGACTTCTAATCTTAGACGTAATTTCAGCCATCTCAATTTCCTCTATGACAAAGGTATTAACAAGCGAAGCTGTTAACCTCGTGGAAACTATCACACGTGGCAACTGTGCTGCTAGGAGAGGACCTATGTTTGTAAAGTAGTCATTGAAATTGTCTACCATTTCGTGGTTGGCTAGTTCGGGTTGGACACGTCGATTCGAGCGAAGGCCGATTGCGTGATTAACTATATCCCAAACCTTTTGTGCATTCCCGTCTAATTATTCAAAATTATGAAGCCAACTGCAAGGCTCATTTGCAAACAGGGAGTGCACAAGAAAATACATGCAACTAAACAGAAGGGACCAATCAAGAGAAACTATACCTCAGTTTTTGTTGCGCCATCCCCTTCCTCAGAAACGATTTCATCTTTCACGATGAACTCGGTGTTGTCTGGCATTTCTTTGTCAGTTCCATCCTTCTCAACCGAATCCTTTGCAGTGCTTTTGCTCGGAGCATTTGTTTTTGGCACTGTTTTATCTGAGGCTATTGTGATGGGTCTGAAAAAAAATGTATGAAACAATGTTCAATAACGGATTCATTTTGTAGATAAAATTAACAAACATTGAACATTTTGAAGAAATGGCCGTCAGTGGCAACAGCTGGATTCAGTTCTTATATACACCAACTCATGTTTACAAACAAACCGGAGTGCCCCTAGCGGACGCCACCGGCGCCGCACATGCGCGGTGGACGGTGGGCAAGAAGCCCGCCGTCGCCCATAAACAAACCATTGAATTGCATTGTTTTCGGCGTCGATGGGAGTCCCTGTGCTTTTTTTTGCGTTGGAATTGTTGATTCTACGTCCTCCTAACAATGTCTGACTAATTGAGCGGCTTCAGCAAAATTAACGAGGCAAAACTTTGCGTGAATAATGTGACTTGCGGTAATTCATTTTACGTGAACGCCGCAGAATGGGCGCTAAAGCCTGACTCGCACGATGAGATTCTGCTCGCCATTTTCAGTCGAGACATCGCTCGGGCTGCAAAAGCGCGGACCGTAGCTTAGATGGTGGATGTCGATACTGAAAACCGCAAGTAGAATCGGGCATTATAAATCGGTGATGGCCACTGGTAACAATGATCAACATCTTCTTGCGTCCACTGTTTACACTTCTTACCCCAACCAACCTTCAAGAGTGTTTTGAGGCCTGCACTTAGTTCTTAACGCAATTACCGGGTCAATGTTTGGTTTACAGGCCGCTGTCGTTTGAACGAGCTGACGACAAAAAGCCGACAAGTTTGAAAGAGCAGACGACAGTTCGAACGCTTGTGGCAAGAAGCACCGCATCCGGCGTCAACAAACCATTGGAATGTCACGTTGTCGGCGTCTGTGTGAGTCTGCATACTGTTTTTCGAGTTAGAATTGTCTATTCTACGTCCTCATAGCAATGTCTTAGCACTTTAATCGCCTGAGCGAAATTATCAAGGCTCGTTACACCGCTAAACTTTGCGTAAATAATTTGACGTGCGGCGATTTATTCGCGTGAACGGCGCAGAATGGACGCCAAAACCATGATAAGATTCTTCTAGATACTCTCGGTCGCGACGTCGCTTGTGCTGCAAAAGTGTAGAAGGTAGTGGCGATGATCGACATTGATACTGAAATTCGGAAGCGGGACCAGACCAAGCGTAACAAGTTGGTGATGGCCACTGGTACCAATGATCAACATCTTGTATCTACTCTTTACACCGAGCCTACATAAGTCTTTTGAGGCCTGCAATTACTTCTTATTGCAATCACCGGGTCAAAGTTTGATCTCAGGGCCGCTTTTGTTTGAATGAGCAGACGACAAAAAGCACGTTTGAAAGAGCAGACGAAAGTTTGAACGATCATGCGGCCGTGTGAATTTGAAGACGCACTGAACCCGCGGGTGGCCCGGACAACTTGGCGGTTTTCTCTCGTTCATGTTGGAACAAAACAAATACATCTGCCGATCAGAAAGTGTTGCCCGCACAAGCAATCGTAGTTCGACAGCGTCTGGTTTTCCCTTTTCACGGCTACTATCCACGTACTCGGACGAACGGAGCGGGAAGAAACACATGAAAACTGATCTTCAAATTTTTCCAGACTCTTTTGGTACAGTCCCCGTTGCAGCATTTTGACCAGAACGTAGGTTTTTCTGTCTGGTTTATCCGAAAAGAACACAAGAATGCATGTCTCGCACGGCAACTTCCACCCACCGCCCCAAACCGGAAGTGCGACCGACGCGCCACCACCGTGCGGCGTGACGTAGGAGAGTCGAGTTTGTGTATAATTCAATGATACATTCCGAACTCGGCACAATTATATTATTATCTGGTAAAACAGCTGACTTCCACTTGCCATGCAGTGTCAGTGGCAATATCTGGAGGCCGTTCTTATGTAATTCAATTTTTTTTATCACATTCCGATCTCATGACAATTGTATTACTACATATGGGGTGTTCCAAAAATGATCTTTACAACTTTGACTCATATTAGGAAACGAAAAGAGGAAGAAAGGTGCGATTTGCAGTAGTGTTTTAAGGAACCTGCAGGACCTTCGTGCTCGCATAAGCGCTGGGATCGCACAGGTCGATGCGGACATGATGAGCCGGAAGTGGGCAGAAGGGAGCATCCACTTGATCTCCTGCGTGCTACTTATGGAACACATACTGAACTTAGTTAAGTGGCTACAATAGAACCTTAGGTGTTCCTTAAAATACTGCTGCAAAGCGCGCCCTTCTACCTCTTTTCGCATCCAAGAACTTGCCAGTGCTTTTCCGCGCGGCCAGCTCAAGTTCACAAGTGCTCTCAACCCCATGCTTGTCCTCCACCGATTCGCAATCGATCTATCGAATAGATTCCTTAAACCAATCAATTAGAAGTGAATGACACGACAAAACTGGAATGCTTATAAAACGAATACCACTCACTCCTGCTTTAAAACTTCTCCGGGAGCAATCCAATCTCCTGGCTCAGGATCATCAGCCGCGAAATCCGGGAATTCACGTCCTACAGATAAAGAAACGAATTAAACATTTAACACGGACAAAAACACTTGTCGTTCTTCGTTTCGTACAAAGCGCACCGGTCAGTTTGGCCAAACGTAGTAGCACAAGCGAAAAAAAAAAAAATAAATAAATAAAGGGGAGGAGAAAAAAAAAAAAAAAAAAAGAAGGTTTGTGGTGTTAGAGCCCCTCGGCAGTGGACCTCTTCAAAACGATTTCTTACAAATCGCTTGTCTTGCAGGGACTGCATCAATATTACAACGGCGGTGTAGCTAGATAGGCGATAATAAGTGATCGATCGTAACTTCTTACCTTTAGTTCCTCCGCCGACGGCGTCAGCCGGTGGAGCCGGCTCCGCATTCTCCGCTTCGGGTTTGGGAGGCTGAGCCGACATAGTTGTAGGGTTATCGGGTTGTAGTAGCAGTACGCTAAAAGGTAGCGCGCCAACCCTTCAACGAGATGCGGATAAATTTGAGGGACACTGACTAAAAATAATGGAATAACAAGACGTCCAACTAGCCTAACCGCTCACGATTTCGAGATCTTTCATTTATGCTAGCTCCGCACAAAAAAAATAAAATAAAAAAAAACTGTTTAAATTGTACAATATAGTACTAAATAAAAATAATTAATGTTTTATAGCTTTACTATTTAATGTGAAAGTTAATTTTTACATTTTATTTGTCAAAATCTCCTCAGCTTGCTTCTTATTGGACCGTTTTGTTGTGATCTTCGAGGTGCCACGCGTGCCACGTGGCCACGTGCCACCGTTTTCACATCAGGACGCGCGCGAACTCTCAACATGCCCAGAAAAGTACCCCACCTTTCCAAATCTGGTACCACCCGACGGTTGGCAGTGGTCGGCGTGTGTTCCAAAAAGAAAACATTGGCTGGTGGCATGCCTCCCATGTTCCTTTGGACAGTGCTGGGTAAAGTACATCTAAAAAGTACTTCAAGTAAAGTACAAATAAGTAGAGGGGGCGTAATGTATTTCAAGTAAAGTAGTAAGTACACTGGGTGCAATGTACTTCAAGTAAAGTACTATAAAGACGATGTACTTTCAGAGTAAAGTGCAAGTATTTTAACACAATCTTTCACGATAATTTTGTAACTGATATGCATCCCAGGGGTGCATGACCTATTTTCAAAAACAGCGGCGAATATTTGATAAAGTCAAGTGGCCGCAGAGTAGTTATTTTCGGGAATGGAGCCTAATTCAGAAGTCCTTCTGAATTTGGTGCCACTTGCACTGGATTGTTGCACCCAAGGAGAGAGCATGACGACAGACCCGTAGCTTCTGCAAGCAATCCTCTCATATAGGAGTTTCCTTTCGTTAATGAAAAAAAAAAAACAGTGAGTGTGCAAGTGAGCTGGCGATAATTAATCATAATGTGACGCTGGCACCCGAGATTGGGGTGCAAAAAAATTAAGGAACTTTCAAGTCGGAGGAAAAGACAAAAGAGAATGCCTCAAAACATTATGACGCTTGCCTCTGTTGTCTTTTTGTTCGACTTGAAATGTTATTTTTGCACACCACAGTCTCAGGTGCTACATTATGATTAATTTTCTCTCCTAATATTTTAAACCTCTCGCGCTGACTGACCGAGAAGTAGCGAGAGTTTAAAAAGCTATGGAAAAGCCGCCCCCAGAACAAACGGAGCGATGAGTCGTTTGCTCACGTTTCTGGTAAGAGTAGAATATCCGTCCCCGCATTTCTTCGGAGTTGATAAAGCATCATTTCGTGATACATATTTAACACACGAAAAAATTTGGGGAATGTAATTTGAAGTCGAAAATTCTACTTTTCTCGGAAAGTACCAGAAAAGATACTTTAAATAAAGTACAAGTACATACTCAGAGAATATACTTCAAGTAAAAGTTTTCTAAACCTACTTGAAGTAGTACTTTAAAGGGATACTCCACCGATTTTTGAGCTACCTCAACTAACTATATTTTCTGACTCCCCGGCCTTTACTCTCTCCGGTATGCTGTTTAAAATCGCGAAATTCATAATAGTTATTGCGAAATCGGCAAATGAATATGATGCAAAAACCAACATTCAAATATACGCGCGCTTTTCAGGGCCGTGACGTCAGTGGCAGGCAGGCTTGCCAGTCGAGCAAGCAGCCAAAAAATAGAATATGCCAATCATTTGTTCCGCGCTGGAGCGCGGGTATTGCAGCGAGCTTCCCAAGCATTCATTTGACACCATGAAACTGCTTCGAATCAGTTTAAAACGAAATCTACAGCCCAAAGAGTGAACCCCTGCCTTCCACTGACGTCACTTTCTCATTGTTGCCAGTAGAGACTTCGAGCTTGAAAAACACGGTGAGGACCAAAACTGTAAATTCAATAACTTCGCGAAAAAACAATATTTTGACCTAATATTTGGGATACTATTTCCGCGATGTTTGTTGGTTAGTTTAGCAAAATTTCAAGCAAATCGGAGACAATGAAAAAATCGGTGGAGTAGCCCTTTAATTAAGTACAATGTACTTAAAGTACTTCTTAACACTGCCTTTGGATGCTATTCCTGATAAATGCATAGTCCAAACAGGACCGGGCAGTCGTGGCAAAGGTTCATGTACTATTAGTGCATGAACCTGTGCCATGACTGACCAGTGCATTTAGAACGTACGTAGAGTTCACTCATTTTCCTAATGGGTAAAGCTATACGCACTACGTAGTGCACCTCGACCGGAAACTGCTATACGCACTACGCGGAGATTTCATGCCATTTGGTTCACTCTTTTCGGACGGCGCGTGTATCACTGGGGAGCGTGTTAAGCCAGCCCCCCGCCTGCATTCACGCCACATCGCGGCGACAGTGTGCAGCTGCTAATTTTCTTAATATATAAAGCTCTCTGCAAAGTGCACATCAATCTGATTGTCAAGGCCATCAAGCTACTAGTGGTCCCAAGACCTAGCCTCTCTATGGTGGTGCACAAAATAATCCAATCCCAAAACGCCTGTGTTAAAATCACCTAATAATTGGGGCACAACAGATTTGGGGAGAAATCATTGAGTCCTTTGCCATGGGGACTGTCAACACCATTTCATCAGCTTCATTATCACTGACAAAGACAAAGGTCGAATTTTTAATACCAGAAATGACCAAATTACTGACTCCTCGTCGTGACTCTAGTGCTTTAAAAACTTTTATATTCATAGTACAGCCAGCACGGAGTGAGACCCGGACGCCGGAACGCGTGGTGGCCATGCATTGACACAGGCTGCTCCACCTGGAGGGCCCCTGAGAACTAATGAAAATACGCCGGGGTGCGAGTCCTACTAAGATGTGCTCTGCCCTCGCACGGCGCGTCTGGGATTTCCACACTGTCGCCCGGTCGACACCTGCGGCTTGCACACGGCGCAAGAAGGTGGATGCTACAAGCAGCAGCAAGCTGCTTGCGCACGCACCAGGGGAGCACGCTTATGGTGTCTTCTCCTCCTGGCATGCAGTTTTTATTGTTGGTTATACGTATCACAATTTTATAATTAGCAGTACTTGTAGCAAAACAGCGCGACATACGAGACAGAAGAACAAGTTGGGACACATGACGAATGCTGACATTCAACTGAAGGTTGCTGCTACAAATATTTAGTATATATGGGCACATCCATACGTCCACTCCCAAAGCTCGTACACTAACCTCTCGATCTTGAGACTCGTATGCCTCGCTGCGAATGCCATAATGCAGGTCTACTAACTCGCTCACTCAGGAAACATTTTCCTCAATTGTTGTGACTTGAGCCTTGAACAATAAGTCACTCTGTGCAGATTCTGGTCCGATCAGTCCAGCGCACCCATTAATTATCGCTTTGTGTATCGGATGCCCAGCGATATCTCTTCAGCACTGATATTAATTATTGCTTTGCGTATCGCGAAGGTGAAATGAAAGTTGAAACATTTCGTACACAGAAGACCCGTATGATGACGTGTCACCGGAAACCACGCGGAGGCTCCAGTGAACAACGTGGCACACGCGGTTTTTGAGAAATAGTGAAATATCATAGATGCAAAATGAAATGTTTATTGACACCATACGCTTTATGAAAAAAAAAGAAAAAAAAAAAGCTGCAACGAACTGACACGGATGCCTCAATTTTTATAAGCAATGCGCATGTTTTCGTGAGAGATTATCAGTCGATTCTTGTAAAAAGCAAAGAATTGCTCGCTCACGCTCTCTTTGGTAACCACCGATATGCCAGGCGATTCAATTCTGGAGCGGAATAAATTCCTCACCCTGCCTGAGCAGGGCCTATTGCAAAGAGCTATAGCCAGGTTAAGCGGCTGCCCGGTGTGAACCGGGCGATCGTGTGGCAACACAAAAGCACCCCGAGTGACGGCACTTACAACGCACCACCCGCAAAACGCTTAAGTCCCAGACATGTTGGGTGAGTGTCGAACACATCTTAGGATGGCCCACACCCTCGCACCCCGGCGCATTTTCATTAGTTCTCAGGGGCTTTCCAGGTGGAGCAGCCTGTGTCGATGGCCACGTGTTCGGGTTTCAATCTGTGCCGACTGTACATTTCCCTTTGGGACTGTCAACATTTCTGCATTATCACTGACAATGACAGAGGCCCAATTTCTTGCACCAGAGATAAGTAGATTACTGATACGTCCTGGGAACACCAGCACCTTTTATACTTTTATATTTAAATTCCCTTTCCTTTTAACAAAAAAAGAATCTAATTCTAATCACTGAAGGAGTTAATAACTTGTACTGTATTAACTGAAATAACCAATCAGAGCTGCCCTTAATTCATCCCTTAGCCATCACCATACGATCACAAGCCAACTGGCCAACCTGTCGCGCATGCACATCGCAGTCGAACCCGAGTCAAACTTTTCACAAGAAATTCGAAAAAGTCGAACCTGGCCGAACTCAAACATTGACCGATTCACGACATCCCTAATCACTACCTTCAACTCCAAATCAGCTGCGAATCAGTTTTGTGGATTGTTCCCATTGGAGTTGTCAGTTTTATCAGCTAAAACCACTACGGCTATGTACGACTGCTACAATTCATTATACACGTTTCCAAAAAACACTCTACCCCAGGGGCAACAAACCATTTTCGAGCCCAGTCACCGAGTTTGAAGCTAGACTCTCACCGGCGTCCCTCCCAACCCTAACCGAGTGGACTCCGATTCCAATAGGCGCAGTTTCAAACGCTGCTGGCGGTCTTTTCCCGCTATACTTTGTTTCACGGTACATGTATTTTCCCGAAGACATTGAGAAAGCATTGTACCACATTTGAAAAAACAAAAAAGCAAAAAAAAAAGACAAAACACTTTAAACTATTTTTGTCGGGTATGCGCTCGAGAGAACAAATGCGACTGGAATGTATAGTTCTAGTTATTTGTGTTTTTCTTGCGATAAGCTTTGACGGCGCCACGGGATTCGCCACATGTGAAACGACAAAGCGGTTTGCTGTCAAAAATAAATTGCAACAGAAAAGGGCCGAAAGGCATGCATTTTTCACGCTCACAAATAACGTGTTTACCGATGGACAGGACACGGACATACAATTGAGGAAGTGTTAACATTCAAACAATATATCGTACGTACCACACGATGCACCGTTATCCGAAAAGAATTTGAGAAAAATCTCAAATAACACAGTCACAGTCGACGACAGTCACATCTTGACGATCGGATGAAATCCAAGATGACTTCGTTTAGAGGCACGTTTTGGGGAGAGCTTTCTTTTTTCACAACCGCACCAAGGCAAAGGAACCAACGCGACGGCCCCGTTCCCACCCCAACCCGGACAATTATTTTTTGGAGACGACTGAGGATTCTACGCGGATTATCTCCAAGAAGGGGGAGAACAATGTTCGCAAAATCGCGTCAAGGGTCGTTAGACGTCCTTCACCTCCTTCGTTTCCCGTGAATGTATACAGAAAAACTTGAAAGGCAGGCACTTACCAGCCTTATTTCTCACAATGGAAGATAACACAGGAAGGGTACGCAGCACGCATAAAAAAATTAAGTGGAAACTTTCAAGAGGGGCGAGAAAACGTCGAATGCAAAACCGCAAAAATGTAGGTAGAGAACTGCACTGAGCGGGTCTTCACAGTCCAAGCGAGTGGCAGAAAATTTCTAGCCGATAGAAGGCACGAGAGTCGCACCAGCCGCATCAGCATCAGCAACATGCCGGCGGCCTAGGACCGTTTTTTGGAAAAACGCATAGATTAAAAAAAAAAAAAAAAACGAAACCACCACCCACTACAGAGAATGAACACCGTTGATTTTATGTAAACTCATACAATGGCAAGGTACAAGTAGTCCCCAGACCAAATTCTTTACCAATTTAATTCGCTGACCCAAATGTATTCTTATTCGAGGGCCAGAACCCATGTCAAAAGAGAAAAAAAAAAGTGGCCAAATATAACCTCCCAGGGTTCCCGATTATTCATACATGGCTATCAAAAAACATCAACAAAAAAAAAAAAGGAAAAGAAAAATTTAATTTTGGGTGAAGTGCCCATTCTTACCTGCCAGGGGTCCAGATTTATAGCATCGAACATGGGATACAACAATCTTAATTTCTGAAGACTTCGGAAGCCCAAGTACACAATACAGCCGTTTTCAACAGTTTGAACAAGGGATGTCACAAACCTGCCCAGGTTTAGTTCAACCTCTTCGAACTTTCAACGTGACGTTCGACAGAGGTTTAACTTTTGTGAGCCTGCACAAAAATTAAAATTCCAGTTGACTCCACCTGGCGGAGGAAAAGTGCAATATTTGCTGGGTGTATTGGCATCGCTGGTTCACATTACTTACGAAAGCATTAAAAGCGCATATTTTCGCTTTTATATGGTGTAAACATTGGCAACCATTTTATGAAGTATAAAATAAACTACTTTTTATATTAAGTTTCCCAAAAATTCGCAATATTTGTGTAGAAGCCAGGAAACACCGTCCATAAGTCAAACTTCCAACTTCAGTGAAAGTTTGAAGGTTTGGCAAACCAGTCAAACCTTGAGGTTCGACGTCATAATCGAGATTCAACAAACCTAAACTTTGATGTCAACAACTACAACTGATATCCAACAAAAATCACAAGGAAATGCTTATAAAACTTTATGCCAAGAAAGCAATTTTAATGCTACCCCCCCCCCCCCTCCCCCCCCCCGAAAAAAAATATGATGCTTGTATTGTTGTTGCTAACAAAGGTGGAACGATTGAGACTGACATGGCACAGTTAGCGACCGCCAATATCGCACCGCATGTGCCATTAAAAACGGCAGAGTACGGTGATGCCCACAGTCGTGAAATGCCTCATGCAGAAAACCAATGCCATTTCTACCATTAAACATTCAAGAAAATTACTTCTTGCTTTTGAAGCAGAAACTTGAGTATTATCCCAACTACCACTGCTACATACGGGCAAAGTTCGAGCTATCAGCAATGCAGTGCTTTTTCCAATGCAAAAAACACTATACTTTTCTCAGTTAACACCCTGTAAAAGAATGCTGAGGCTGGGATTGTTTGCCCACCCAGACCCGGCTGTTCGGGAAAAGAAGAAACAATTTCCGAGGTCTTGAAACACCCGGAGAAGTGCCAATTGCTACTTCAAGCAAAAGCGTAAATGCCATGGTTAAGTCACTCGCAGACCTAAGCACTCCTGTAATAGCCATCCCAATTACATCCAGGAACGAGCACGTTTGAGCAGCTTTATTCCATCAGCAGGTGTGGCCAATCACACTGAATCGTAAAAGTAGTTGTAGAACCAAACAAGTGTTGCCCTGATAATGAAAACAATTCAAACAAATGAGATGCCTTGAATAATCCACTGTGGATATCAAAATGGATGTGCTTGGAGCATGCCCTACAGCCCGAGCTTCTCTTGGGCTTCTGTCCTCATCTTGATCTTCTGAACCTGCCCGAGTGCAGACTTGGGAAAGGAGTCCACAAACAGGACATACTTCGGAATCGAGGCTTCACTAATCTGGAAGAAAAAAAACTATGTATGCCTTTTTCATAACTATTCACATGCCTGGCAACGTGTTAAATTTGCCAAGAAATAAAACCAATATCAACAGCCACACAAAATTTAGCATTCATTGAGTTCCGCCAGACAAAAGAATGAACTGTAAAAATGCATTCCCTTCCAATTGCATTAAAATTTATCTTGTCTGTGAGGAAGCACACTTTGATACTCTGTCCAGACATTACTGAATATGGCACCTTGTAGATTTGTTTGCCCCGATATCCGTCTGCATGCTTTAGTTCCCTCCCCCCCTCCCTCCCCCTCCTTCCTTCCTTCCTTCCCCCTTCTTCCCTCCCTCCCTCTCCCTCCCTCCCTCCCTCCCTCCCTCCCTCCCCCCCCCCCCCCCCCCCCCCCCCCACCGCCGACACCTCAACCAACAACGGAGCACGCTTCACTGCCTCGTCATTGCGCGTTCCCTGCACACTCTATGTTGTCCGTTGATTGGTGTGCCCCTCCTAGCGTTCCGATGCGCCAAACACACATTTTTAAACACTTTCGGTTTGTGCTCATGTTTAAAGCAAGAATGCACAAACAATATTTAACTTTCAAGGACACAAACAATGTCGAGCCTTTCATAAACATTTCTCGGTGTGAAAACACCCATTACTCCAAAAACTGTTATAATTCAGTGGAGCTTCCCTTCAAGGGCAACAGGTAAGCAAGCATAGATCTTACCTTTTCCTTACAGAAATCCTTGACCTCTTCCTCGGTGACGGTGGATTCAGGCTTTAGCTTCAAACAGGCGCAGATCTCTTCAGAAACTGCCACAACCTAGGGGCACAGAGGTAATGTCACTCAATTGTGCAATGAAACGCCATCGCACCACGAAAATAGACACGATTTAAGGTTTCCACTTTTTCCAGGAGGCCCCGCAGAAAAAGCCAGCCCTACCTGCGCCTCTTCGACGGCTGCGTGGGAGGAGAGGCACTCCTCGATCTCCCGGCAGTCGACGACTTCCTCGCCCCGGCAAATCCTGTCCTGGATGCGGCCGCAGATAGTCAGGCGGCCGTCCTCGCTCAGGGTTGCCTCGTCTCTGCAGTCGGAAGTCGGCGAGAGACATTTAGAACCCGGCATTCTCACCCTATACGACGTCGGTTCCTCAACAGTTCATCTCGAGAAAACCTCCATTTCTCTCGACTTGTCATGTAAATGGCAAAACATGCCCCGCCACTTCTACGATCAAACAAAACAGCCGCTTGCCCGGTGTGGTACCAGCCGTCTCGAATAGCTTCCTCTGTCTTCTTCTTGCTTCCGCAGTAGCCCATGAACACAGGGTGGCCTCTCACGCACAGCTCACCCCTGCTGTTTGAGGGCACCAGTTTGTTCTCGGAGTCCACCACCTTCACCTGCACCGATTCCACAGAAAGAAAAACACCGTCAACTACCAGGAAGCTCCTTACTGCCTGTTCTCCGCAAGTGTTGCCAAGCTTACTACAGTATAGACCACTTACAACGTAACCGCTTATTGTGCAGGACTGGGTATAACGCGGTTTTTTTAAACCACCGGTTCGCCTCCCATAGAACTCCATGTAATTACATACCGCTTAAAATGCAGGCGCGCGAAGGGAAATACCGGTTATAGTGCGGTTTCTGGAACAGCCCGCCAACCGCGCCGACGACCCGCGCAGCGAGCACGCTTCCCTGTGCGACACTAGATAACGGCGCTGACGGCGCGGGGCAAGGAGGTTGCTCGAAGAAGCGAAGAGAGAGGCTTCAGTTGCCATAGTGACGGAGGGACCCACGCATGTGTCGTTCACGTGCGTGCGTCCCTCCGCTGCGTTGGAAAACAACCGCAACGACAGACCAATCGCAGGTCGAGGAGAAGTGTTCGCGCGCGTTGCACGCCGGTCGCGGGATGGCTTCTATCCGCAAACATGGCGTCGGTTGTGATCGTCGTCGTAGACAGCGTGGGGGAGCTCATCGTTCCGCGTAAAAGCGCTATCCTTTACTGTGAATTTTCGTTCTGTGTTGCTATGATAACCCAGCAAGTACTAGAAGGGAAGATCCACCTACTCGTGCGGCGATGTCATGGCGGCACTCTCAAGACGGCAGAAACGCCCGTGTCGTCGTGTTTGTTTACTTAGACTACAGTGGTGATTTCTAAGCATTTGTGTCCTCGAACACCCCCGGATTTCTTATTTGGCGCATTTTCATGCGTGTGCTCAAGTTAAAGGTATTACTGGCGCATACCATATGAAGGATGCGAATTTTCACGCGTTTTCATCACCGGAGAGAAGTGATTAGGGTTAGCAATCCTGAACGCTCGCAACATCCATCCGCAAACCGCGACGCCGTTAAAAAGGCTGCGCCAGGCAAAAGCCGCTCATTTCTTTCAAAATGTGTGACACACTTGAGACAGAACTATACTAGTCTGGTGAAATAAAGACTTTCCTCATACTAAGCTTTATTTTTCATCTAACATAAAATAAATTCTTTTACAAAGGTAAGATGTCTCATTGCATGTATTTTGGCCTGAAAAATTGATGTTTTGGTTATAGCGCGGTACCGCTTATAGTGCGGATTTTCGCGACTCCTGCGACATACGTTTTATGCGGTCTACACTGTACTGGGTACCAATGCGCAATTCGGGTACTTTTAGTGGTACAGTCACGTCTCACTGACACAAACCCCATTAATATGAATACCCCGCTACATGTGCAACATTTTCGGGGGCAAACTGGGCAAATACGTGCACATTTTGTCTGTATATTATGGAGAACTTGCATTATGGCCACTTTACGAGGGAAACGAAGGTGTCCAAATTAATGAGACATCACTGTATTCGCACGAAGGAAGAATCCGCAGAACGGTGTGCTGTGGCGTCAGCAGTGAGTGCAACCCCCTCAACTTCCTCGTTCACATGGAAGAAGTCTAAATTAGAAGCTTAATTTAGCAGTTTCTACTCTCGATATTGAAGCTTTTTAACAAAATACTGTTCAAAGTAAACTGATCTGCCACCAAATTGGGATTGATCTGTACTGTCCGAGCATCCCCTCCGCTCCTTCGTTGCGGAGCAGCTGACGTCACCGCCGTGCATAGCCCAAGTGTGCTGCTTATGTCATGTGATGCGCATTCCACAAAAAAAAATGTCAGATTTCTATCTTGTGTAAATACTGCCTACAAACTACCTACTGCTTAAAAAAAAAAAAAAAAAAAGAAACGTGGCCAGCGAGTTGTTCTTGAAAAAGGCATCCTCGTTGTTTGTGACTGTTCGAAACCCTTCAATGGCATCCAGCCTTGAAAAATGGCATCTCAGACTAGGAAGCTGCAATTTTTATCTTCAGAGATGCATTCAAAATCTCTAGCAAATTATTATTTTAAAATTCCCCGACTTTTCCATGGTTTTCCCTGACAATTTCAGGTGGAATTTCCTGACCACTGTACAGATGGTGAAATATATACGACAATTACAACACAAGGCATTGAGCACTGAGCACTATGAGGATGATTTTGCATGGGCTTAATCCACCTTGCATATTCCGAAATACATTCGAGTTCGTCCAGTCCAGTTAAACAAGCACTTTCTTGCAGCCGACATCATTGTTGAAAAACCCACTTCCGAAAACACAATGAAAACATGACACTCAACCACACACGTCAATAAATGAATGGTAGCATGGCTGCCAGAGGCACACTTTCGGCTTAAGACTTGGATTGGGGTCGTAGCCTTCCCATTCGTTACAAAATCTAGTAGTTATAACTGGATCTAGCCTAGTGTCGTACCCTCAACCCAATCCAATCCAAGGCTTGGACTAAATTTCTCAGCTCTTCCCTTTGTACCGGGAAGCACACTCTACATCGGGCAAGCAGAGCCTGCACCCCGTTCTAAGCAGAAATTATTGCCTTTTTTTGTGCCCTCAAGTCTTTGCTCGGGGCATTCAAAGGCATATCCGGCTCATTTTCCCTGAAAGGGCTTGCTTTTTGACAATATCCCCGATTTTTTCTCGTAAAACATTTCCCTGACAATTCCCGGTTTTCCCGGTCGCTAGACACCCTGTGCATTTCAGTGTAGCATTCACCCCAGAAAAATCCCAAGATCTGTTGATCGAGCTCCCCGCAGTTTTCGATGGCAACCTGCTACTGTCAAGACCATTATAACAAAGTCGGTTATAAATAGCGGCTACAGCAAAGCGATTACGATTTCCCATTCCCTTTTGCACTTTGGTAACCGGAGTCAATTGTAACAAAATAGTGGATTTAGCGAAGTGATTTCCGATACCCTTTGACTTCGTTATAACCGGTCTCGACAGTATTTGAAAGCAAATACTTATTCTAGTGTTTCTTTACGGATGGCATTATGATGACATCTCGCAGAGTAAAATTGGCCACAAGATTGTACACTTCCAAGATATTTTTAGCTGAGCCAAGGCCCAGTTTCTTCACATTGTACACGGCATAAGTTTTGGAAAACATGGCACGTGTTGCTAGCTATATATAAAAAAAAAATATTTAAATGTAATTTTGCCTAAACTTATGTTTGCCACCTTTACTCACAAAATAAAAACTGGATGGCAGTCTTGCACCGTGGACAAAGCACCTCAATCAAGTGTTTCGAAAGTTGAATCTTGTTTTTCTTCAAACAAAGCTTTATTTCTACGGCCACACAGAAAAAGTGTTGAATGTCAAAATGCATGTTTTAAGGCTGCAGTGTGACCGCTGGTTTTACCCAGATATAGTAAGTCACAATAGTGGCCAGGTCGAGTTGTTAATTGAAAAAGCATGAAACACCACTGTCATAAAATCAAACTTCAGGGTTGCTCAGAATCTAAAAAAGTGAAGCCAACAAAGTGCCCTTTTTTTTTTTTTTTTAAAGGGAAGAGAAATTTGTTTACATCAACTTAACGACACAATAGGTTGTTACCTCAACATGATCCACGGGTGTGCCAACCGTGCGCATCCAGTCTTCACCTGACCATTCTGGTTTCGAAACTGCAATGGCCGGACTGCATTCTGCTGAACCGTAGATCACCTAAACAAAAAAATATGAAGAGAAAAGAAAATAGCAACAAAGGTTTTATTTTTGGAGGGAATCTTAGAGCCTCAGTGTCAATGTGGGATGCACTAATGCAAAGAACATACATGCACTTTTCCAATGCAGAGCTTCTTCCGGAGGTTCTTGATGAATTCCGACGAGCATGAAGATCCCACAACAATGGCTGCAACAGATATGTACCAGCCAAAATTAGGAGCAGCCCATCACAGAAATGCATGCCACAGATCTAAGTCACAAATAACACAACAGCGAGACCAACAAGATGTAAAAATCTGGGGAAAACCGGCATAATGCGAGCTCCGGCAGACGATTTCGTTTCAGAAAACAAAGAAGAGATTCTAAAAGCCTAAACCAGAAAGATTGCAATGATAATGCTAAGAAGCAGACTCCCAGATGAAGATCATGACTACACAAGCGAATAATAGTCACGGTATTTACACGAAGGTAGGTCGACCCATTTTTCAATTTTTGAAAATCTGAAGTGGGGGGGGGGGGGGGGGGGGGGGGGGGGGGGGGGGGGGGGGTAGGCTCATAATGGAACCAAAGCATTCCACCACCACCATGAAATGATAGCGATATCAAGAACACCTGGACTTGTTACGAGTTCAGCCGGCTGTACCTGTGTAGCATTGTGCAATTCCGGTGCACTCATTTTACAAGCTCTTTTTTTTATAATTATTTCTACGAACGAGCATTACTGATAGCGATTTGAAAATTAGCCGAATGTACGGCGGTAAACAGCGTGCCCGACTCCCAGGGGGTGGCAGCACTAGGGAGGGGTCAAGTGGGGGTGGGGCGCAACTCAGATCCTGGAGAGCGTTTGCAATTTAATGACGGCGCCCAAGGGAGAGGATTAGGAAACGATATGTGCCAATGTTGCCTGCACGATAGCAGACGCCCGCTCTGTCGCAACTCTGTTACTCCTCTCGTCTCCCATTGCAAACAACGAATGCCTTGGTGTAGCCTTTCTCACTTCGAGAATTGCAAACGTCGAGAGGAGAAAGCAAGGTTGCCAGACAAGCAGCAGCATCCAAGACGGCAGAATATACCATTTTTTGCGATAAACAAATACTTAACCTATCGGAACAAAACTGGTGGCTATAGAAGAGTAATCATTTATATCTTGCATCAATTATTCAAGCACATCGATGGGCTCTTATGACCTGAGTCAGGAAATAAAACGTCCCTTTGCCCCACAGACTCCCAGAAAAATTTAGCAATAAAATGGTGCCCATATCTCGTGATCCCCGATGTAGCAGTTGCGCCCGCCCTCAGTAGAGCCTCCCTAGGCAGCACTTGAAGTAAGGGCCACTCCGGAATGGCCGCTGGAACACTCTCCCTCCCACCTACTTCTTTTTGCGGTTTTCACACGATTCACAGTCTTACGTCGTTTGATCAGGTGTCGAGATCATGCGGGAGCGCCAACTACCTATGTTTCTCCTTATTGACATGCGTGATCCAGGCAGTTTAGGCTTTCAGCGCTCCTTTATGGCCATTCTTCATCCAGAAGCAACAAACAACTGCGCTGCTGGATGAAAGTTCGACCCGTCGGAGCGGGTGGTGCTCCAGTTGCATCTGCAACGGCACGGGATCTTAACTGTGACGGCAAACGAAGAGCCTTCCACGGGTCAAAATCTGGATAGGTCGGGTTGCCTTCTGGAGTTAGATGTCGGGCTTGCAACGTACGCCACAGATGTGCACCATCGGTCCCTATCTGTGACGTGCGAAGCGATCAACGAGCAAACACGGAAGATGCTGTTATTTGCGAAGTGCTACATTTCGTTGAACGACGCCAACGACGTGCTTTGAGAATGCAGCAGTGATGACGTGAACGACAGCACAGTGAAAACAAATCATAGTCCTTTAGTCTTGCAGACAGAGTGAGAATGACAGGAAGCAGCTTCAGTTGTCCCGCTTCCGAAGTGAGCTTCCTAGTTTCGATAACGTTTGAGCATCTCATGCACCTTGCGAGTGCATGCGCAGCTAAAGCATGCCAGAAGGCATCAAGTGCGTGCTGATGGCTGGGCTTTCGAAAGAGACGCCCTGCCGTTCTCAAGTGTTTGCCGTAAAATGCGCCCATAAAGATTTTTTTTTTCTTCCTTTTATGAATGTTCCCGTATTTACAAAATTTTAAGTCGACCCCCTCCAATTGCAATTGGAGGGAGTCGACTTAAAATTGTGTAAATATGGCAGTTTATGAGGGTAACGCAAACATAAAACAGAACTGCATAAAAAAAAAGAAAAAAAAGAAAATTGGATTGCATGTATGATTATACAGCCTAGAACTTGGTCTGCCTCAACGAGAAACGAGTCTCCCAGCTGTAGATGAGAAATTTAGACACTGCAGTGCAACTGCTAGCTTGGGGTCTTTAACGTGCATCACGCAGTAGTGATACACGACCGCACGCTGGTACAATGCTCATCCAGATTGAAACGGGTAGGGGTGGGGATTGAACCCGGGATCCTGGGTTCTGCAGCATGAGCTTTTGCTCCACATGCTCCGAGCTGGTGTGCGCTAACCCACACGGCCACCGACCCCCGAGAATTGCATTTAAAATTTCCAAAGCTAGTGTTGTCACACTGAAATATCTAGGATGGACACAAATGCATAATCAATCATATATTTTCAGCATCAAAGCTAAAACACCTTGCTCTTCAATATCCCGGAAACTACAATCGTGATTACCAGCCACCGAAGTGACCACTAGGATACCTCTACCCTTCCCCTCTTCTCTTTTAGGCATCTTTGCAATAAAGGCAGTGAAGAGGCCTATCCCCTTTGCTAACAATGACTTGCACACTAGGGAGTGCATTAAACAGTTGCCAAAGGCTCAGAAAGGCTATAATAGCTCTTGAACTGGTAGAATACTTTCCCGAGCTATACACATTGATAGAGTATTTGGTTGGTTGCGGGACCCGCTCAAGGGTACTTGGGAAACCCAATTTCAGAACTTGTGCCTCATAAAGCTTTACCACAATAGAGTAACCCTAACCTATAAGTATTTTTTTTCTTCCTAAATTTTAAAAGCATAAATGCTAGTTTAACTCATGCAGCTGCTTCAATGTGCTGGCCGTTTCTTTCGGGTGTCACTAAAAATGCAACTTTCTCATTTAAAAATGCAGAGCCGATGGCCCTTCTGATTGAAGGGCTGAGTGCAATAGTGATACAGCTCCGAAAGAGGGTCCCAACGTTTTTCTCGTGTGCTGGTCAAAATTAATGTCTTTATTCGGTTCAAGGGGAATGAATACCTGGAATATTACATTAGCAAAAAGAAAGTGGTGCAATTGTGACCTCCAAGAACAGAAATATAAGAAATAGTACAGGTCAACTTGTACCATTCTTGCAAGCAGCCCATCAATGGTTTCCCCATTCAGGTGTCATAGAACCCGGATTCTGCCCCAAAAAATTACCTTTGCGAAGTGTCGAAGCTTTGCTCTGGTCGGCTTCGATCTGGGGCAACTGTGCCAATGCCGACGGCGTCCCATACACAGCAGTGCACCTGCGACACACAAGGCATTGTTTTTCAGGTTGCCACGCCTCTCCGAGGAAGTTTTCAGAGAGGCCAAATAAAGTCGCGCACTTGTTGTCCTTGATCGCCTTGAAAGCGATCGTGGGATCGAAGACTGGCGCCGGCAACACGAGGGTGCGGCCAAAAGTCACGGCAGCCAGCGTGCCGGCGATGCAGCCCAAGGGGTGCGACATCGGGAGAGTCAGGCAGACTATGTCCTCCTGGACAAAATTTGAGTAAAAGAAAACTCAGCTAAATATGGAGCAGAAACAATTAGTACGGTCAGGAAGTTTTTTTGCTTCATTTGGCGACACCGCACAAAAAGAAATGCCCACGCGCTAGCCGTAAGTGAGTGCACAACAAATGACTCCCCAGGGTTCATATTCTCTCCGTTTTGTTCCTCAGCACAGTCAGAAGACCTTATCCAAATCTTATTTGCACATTTAATTTAATTTCATTTATTTAACCCTTAAATGCCCACAGGGAGCTTTACATAAGGGGGGTTGCAAATTTAAACACAAGGTATGCCTCGAGGCATGTCGAGACATACCTCAAAACAAGGTCTCCACAAAAAAAAAAAAAAAAAAAATTATTTAGTTATGCTCTGGGACAACTTTCTGCGATATTTCAGAAGTGAAGAGTGTTAGTGCACAGCTTTTATCTGCACTCAATGCGGGCGATCATGTGGGCGATCTGTTGGCAATTATGCGACGATACACTATGAATGTTTCAGAAACAATGTCAAGAGGCTTAATATCATCAGTCACGAAGTTAAAAGTTACCCTAAAATGCATTGAGGTTCTATGAACGAGAGCCCACTAACAGTTTTAGATCATTGTATAAATCAATTGCTGCAAGACGGTGCACCATTTACAAGCAAAGATAATGCACATTGCTGCACATACATGGTCCTGGAATCCCAGCACATGGCCAGCCGTCTCAGCGTTGTTGACAATGTTGAAGTGAGAGAGCAGAACGCTCTTAGGTTTTCCCGTGGTTCCCTGCACGCGCAGAAGGGAAGCATTTTAAGCGAGTCACAATACCAGTTGGAAAAGCATGAAGCTTTTCTATCGTGTCAACACAATTCAGAGCTGGTTGAGTAGCATGAAACCAAAGGCAACTCACTGACGTGAACTGTACACTGACGGGGTCGTCATATTGGACCTTCGGGAGGGCGACATTCACGCTTCCTTCCTCCTGATTCTGAACAGACTGAATCAATTCGTCGTACGTCACTGTGCCCCTGCGGTACGTAAAATCAGAAGTTTAATTTACGAAACATCAAATCAGCAGAAAATAGCCCCAATAGTCTACTCACGGCTTTGCCGCTTCGGCGATCAAAATGACGTGCTTCAAGCGAGGAAGTCTGAAAATACAAAGTTTCCCAGGTTAGAAGACTACAACCCCAGAAAATATGACAAACAAGCTTGACGTTGAAAGCCCCTCGCAATGCATCAAGTCGAAGGTTGTACCTGGCACTTTTCAGCTCCCCTGGCTTCGAGTTTTTCAGTTCCGGAGCTATCTCGAGCAGCATTGCATAGTGGTCGTGAGATGCAAATTTCTCGGAGAGGACAACCGCTTCGCAGTCAACCTGCGTGCAATTGAGCCGCCTTCAAAACAAATTCTGGTGCGTCTCATATCGAACGCAGAATCCTTACTCAATTAAAAGGAGAGAGAAAAAAAAAAAAAAAAATAAAGAGAAGAAAGCTTACATGCTTCAAGGAGTGTTGCAGCTCTGGAACGGTGCATTCCGTAGTAATATTCACCTTGGAAAAGAGAAAAAGACAAACTTGCAGTACTCAAAACATACAGGCTGTGACAACCATTTGCTGCATTATATTAAAATTGCAGCACACGATTTTCAAACTGTTGTCAATTATGGACCAATTTTGCACTGATGCCCCCTTGCAACTTCTTTTTTTAACACAAAATGCATGATGTGGCTGGCACTTAACCATATCCGGTTGGGTGCCAGCAACGAAAGTCGACAGGCCGAACGCCAGCCGTATGCCAACGCAGCGCTCGCCTCCTCGCTGGCAGCATGGCCGCCAGATGCACAATTTCGGATACTTTCGGCTTAAGGCCGAAAGTATCCGAAATTATTATTAGGTTTAGGGTCTGCAGTTTTCCCATTAGTTACTAAATCTAGTAGCTCTAACTGGATCTAGCCAAGTGTCATGCCCTCAAACCAATCCAATCCAAGGCCTGGACTGGATTTGTCGGCTCTTCCCTTTGAATCGGGTAGCACATTCTACAACGGGGTGAGCAGAGCCTGCTCTCCGCTCTAAGCAAAATTTATTGCCTATTTTTCTGCCTCCAAGTCCTCAAGTCTTTGCTCAGGGCACTTGGTGGCATTTCCAGCTCATTTTCTCTGACTGTGCTCGCTTTTTGACAATATCCCTGACACTTCTCTGATTTTTCCAGGTAATTAAAAATTTCCCTGACAATTCTCAGTTTTCCCGGTTGCAGACACCCTGAAGAATGAACCTACAGAGCAGTTCATATTACGTTTCTTGCAAGTATCCTTGCTAACTATTGAATTGGAAAAAGATCTCACCAGAACATAGCAGTCTGTCATAAATAACAGCAGCAATTTTATTCACGAATTTGTACTCCAAAGTAGAGTTGGCACATTAGCACTTGCCCAAGTTTTCTCCCTTTTTCTTTTTAATATACCCGACGCCTGCGTCTCTAACATATCCCACTTTGGAGGAGTGCCTTGCTCTTAGCATGCGGGTGCATCGCAGCGAAGCAAGATAAGCAAAATCACGATGCTTACTTAGCGGTTGCTTTACTGCCGTACACAAGAGGGCGGTGAGAAGCGCACTCAACAAAGCCAACTTATACCCCTGTTACACGAGCATCCATAACTACAGTTAAGCTAACTGCAGTTACTCTAGACTGGAGTTCTGCGCAGTTATACAACTGACCGAGATGCGGCTAGTACGAAACCATGGTTAGCACAAATTGAGCTCCACAATCTCAGTTTGGGCTTGCTAACTGAGCTAAAGATGGTGAAGACTGCAGCATTGCCGGCTATCGAAGCACTAACTATTTCGGAATGCCAGGGAACACACCTGGAAAGAACTGTGAAGACAAATGTCGCGAAAAGAAACATGTCTCAAAGGCAGATAGATATGCAGCAAAAGCAATTACGCCATGTCGCGAGACAAGCGAAGCCCCCACTCCTCGGGCGCTGCCATTAATTCTGGCCGATGCCAATGCAGTTTCCCTCATGTCGCCCATGTTTGTATTTATTTAAGGGGTCTTGATAGTCGTTTGTTACACATCACAAATAAAATTATGGGTCTAATTACTCGTTTTGAACAATTCAAAATGAATATAAAAAAATGTGTCCTTGATTCGAACATGGGACACTGCAGTTGGTTTCGTTTTAGCTTCAACCCTTCAACTGCAAGCAAAATGGCTGTGTAACACCATCTCAGTCCAGTTTACTCTAAGCACGATTAGCGGCCGATAACTGCCGTTTGCCTAACCACAGTTAAAACTGCTTGTGTAACTAGAGTATCACTTGCCAGGGCACGCTACAAACATGACTTGATATTGCGGAAATTTCGAGTACTGTCGGTGTTTGACAGAGAGATCAAACCGAATGGAACACTATTTGTGACGATAATCAAAAGTTCAGAAAATTAGCACAAGCCAACCACAACGATCTGGACGTGTAGGGGGGGGCCTCAGCTTTAATATTTTCAGTATTCATTATGTGAAAAGAAGTTTTGGCCCAATGTTGGCACAGATTCTTCACATCTCGGCTACATGTAGCAGGATGAAGTAGGGTAAGCCTTTTGATGCAGTTCAGCACAAATGGTGCATAATTCAAATCACTGAGAATATATTATAATTATTGTACAGCTTGAAAGACTCCAATATTAACTTAGAAACGCTAAAAAATGCTATAAACAGCCCTGCTGACTCTGAGCTAAACCTCGTTTTTGGTTGTTGTGAATTCCAAACTTTTTAAGCAATTCCTGCTAAAACAATCATGGGAATGATAATATTGTAAGAGATTTCTGCAGCTCAGTCAGGCTGAAGGGTGGATTGCATGCACAGTGTGAAAAACGCCGACATTGACGATAAATTTTAAAAACGATACGACACTCTGCAGTCTACACGACACTCATTCAGGAGGACTGTGAATTACTGTGTTTACACAATTCTAATATGCCCCCAATCCTAACGCGCGGGCAGATGAAGCTCCCAGATGTTCAAAAAGTAAACTGCTGCCAATTCTACAGTGCAGGTAAAACAATGAAGGTTGAACAGGCGAATGTGAACAAGCAGTCACGACGGCAATGGGACTAGCCACTTTATACCGAGTATTGCATTTTTCTTTTTGAGTTTCGGTTGTAACGCACATGTATGCTTGGGCACCGATTTTGGCAAAAAAAGTGAGCGTTAGAATCGTGCGAACGAAGTACACTCATAAGTGTGCAAGCATCGAATCGGTCGAAATTATTAATCACTAGGGAACCGAAAAACACGGTTCCCGCGACTCCTCGAGTGCGCACCGGGGCACTTGAAAGATTTAGGAAATGGTCTACTGTTCTGTTTTTTGCACGCTCCCTCTACAGGGTATCACACTCCAACAGGCTCTGAGAAAATCGCATTTGCACTGCAGCCGTGGAAAGGAGCACCTGCAAGCAAGACATCCACGGAGCACTCGCACGCTTACCTAGCATGGCACAGGGCCGCTTTGCGCCTGCCAGACTCCACATGTGTACAGCTTCTCCAGATTAACACATTACATTCTGCGTTACCACTGCCTCTGCCAGGGGTACGGCAAAAGGAAGACTTTTTTTTTTCTCGATTGCTTCTGGCCGTGCCAAACACTCCCTAGCATGTGAGTAATTGATTATAAGGTCTGTAGGCTTCTGCACTGCTACGTTGCAACAGCGCGGAGACAGAGAGGGCTTCCTCGGCTATCAATCAAGAGAGACTGGCGTTTCTTGAGGAGTTTGAGAACTCGTGTGCTAGATTAGTTGCTGAACCTTTTTAAGACAAAGCAACTCTTCATAGAGTGATAACTGTTGTCACTTACCAGAATCAATCCTGCCTTGGCAGCTGCGAACTGGACCACAACCCATTCGTACATGTTGGGCACAACAATGCCAATCTTTGAGCCGGCCGAGAGCTTGAGAGACACAAGGCCAGCTGCCAGCTGATCGATCTGAAACACGAATGGCAGAACAAGTCAGAAAAGGCTACAATAAAAGGCTTTGAAAGGTTGCCTGCAATCTGACCCCAGATGCCTTGCTTGATTTATTGCCAGAGAGACGGAAGAGTGGGCAAGCGCATCCTCAAAATGAATGCCTGCCCATCTATACAGTTAGGAAAAATGCAAAATTACGCAAAAAAGTTGAAAAATTTTGGGTTACTACAAGAAAAATGTGCTACTGCATATTGCCACTATGAACACAAACATTCATAATTCATAAAAGTCACAACTCCATTATTATCATCCCTTACTTCCATCCACAGAAATCCTGTAGGTACCTTTTAGGAAATTGAAAAGAAATGTGATTTCTTAGGGTAGGTAAAAATGCCGAAATACGAAATATTCTTGGAAATCACAAATTTGAGGTCTTTGTAGTTCAAAGTACATCCCATCACACAATACAAAATCAAAGGGCATGATTTGAAGTATGGGATGAACTTCAAGTTTGATTTTTTCCACTTTTCTTTACTAATGATGGTCTCAGAAATGGATTTCCTGGAATTCCCAAATTGACAGCTGATGTTCTGCCAAGAGAATGGGTTTATTCCCTTAGTGCCCTTTTCGCAATATGCTCTCGAATAAATAAACTCTACCCTGAAGCTTTCTTTTCTTTTCAGAAATACAGTTGGTAAGTAATTAATCATAAATTGAAGTAATCATTGCCCCAAAGATTTAACATTAAATTAAAAGTTCCAATTGAGTGAGATGTGAGACTGAATAAGGAAAAAAACACAAATAAGGAAAGATCCAGAGGAAGTTCACATGCACTCTGCTAGAAAAAGTAATTTCAGCAAATGCAAACTATATAGCAGTAATTGAAATCGGACTCCTTCGTAACAATTTTTTCTTTATGGTTTATGTAACGCACATGGGAAGTTTATCTAAAGTAAAAAGCATGGCATGAACACTTGTAGGCCACCTCTTCATAGTAATGCTAAAAAAAAAAAAAACACTGCACAAAGAACAAAAAAAGCTTTTTTTTGCTGCTTGGATAGGAGTTTTTGACAAAAGAAAACACTAGGCATCACAAAACACTATGCATCACAGAAAGCACGAACTCTGTGAGAAGGTGATGCTAGTGGTAAAGATAGAACGTGAATGTTTGAGAACTTGATGTTCCCTCAATCAAAAGCTAACTGAGATAAATTAAATTTCACTACTGACATCACCCCTAAGCCTATTGGGGAGGAGATCGAGTGGTGGCGCTCCCTAGTGGGCACCTCGGGAACTAACGCTGTGTAACAAACAAACCCTTCGACCGCAGTCATTAGTGCATTCACTGCCACAAAAGACGATGCAAGGCTTGCGAAAGATATGTAACACTATACTTTTCTCCTCAACGCATCTGGATAAAAGTAATCTAGCCCCTCTTGCGTTCAATGCCATCGAAGTACTCTTGGAAGGCACAACAAGCGCATGTGTGGCAGTGACGAATTCAGAGGTGGGTCCGGACATCCTGACCCCCCCTCTTGAATTCTGTATGTGTAAAAATTTAGGGCGAGGAAACGAAATGTAGGGCGGAGAAACGGGGAAGGGTTTGAACATACATTAGCCTGCTTCCCCCCCCCCCCCCTTCCCTCTCTTCCTTCTAAAATACCTGCGCCTACCCCCGCACGTGACGGACGAGCCACGTTGCGTCAGCTGCACGCCCTGGATTGTGCGTGGCGACCGTGTTTTTCCTAACTATTCACAAAACACGCACATCACTTTTCAGTTACCCTGCCTCTTCCGTCAATCATGGACGACATCGGCGAAAGCAAGTAGTGTTTCGTTGAAAGAGAGGACGTGTCCAACTGCGATCATATCATTGAGTGCAGCGTTGCACCATGACCGAAGGCGGACAGTGTCCGTATCGTCGCATATGTGCTGCAGTCCTCTCCAGCGCATATACCCGGTTCAAAATGCATGCTTCAAGCACTGCGGTGCGTACCAAGTGCGCACCGTATCACTACAAATGTGAAGCGAGCACGGAAACAATGCGACGTACGCTAGGCAAGTGTTGGCGTCGGAGATGTTTGCCACACAGCGATTGTTTGTGGTGATGATGATAATGAAACTGCACCCCCTATAGTTCAATCTCCTTGCCAATAGTCAAAACAAAATAACGTTGTTGGCACCTTTTTCAGTGAAAAAAAACTTGTCAGTAAGAAAACAATATTTCTTTCTTGCTGACAAGTGTTTTTCACCGATATAAATCCTATAAGCGTCCAGAAAGTCAGTTCTTATTTTGACCACATTAGGCTTAGGTAGACGTCGGCTCGTACAAAAGCTGTTTTTCTCGATTATCTTTTGATGCAGAAAACATCAAGCTCTCGAACCTTCACATTTTATCCCAACTACTAGCGTCACATTCTATCCCAACTGCTAGCGTCACATTCTTGCAGTCTGAAATTTCTGCAATGCAGTTTATTCACATGGGCCGAAAAACGCTGATCTTTTTTTTCTGGAATGCCCACAACTACATACAATGACGTCGTCATCAACACCATACTAGACAACCAACATTCCTAAATCCAACAATACTAATCAAGATCGTAGAAACAATGTAGCCCCTAAGGGGCTATACTGTTCATACGATCTTGACCTGTGTGTTGATTGAGTGCAACATGTTGGTTTTTTTGTGGAACCCAGACCTATAACACAGTCTGCGTATAACCTAATGCAATGTTTACGCTGCAACACCCAATTTAGGTGCTGGGTATGCAGTGCACAAGCCTCCCTCCTCTCCATTTCTTTCTTTGGCGACTTCTCCCAGTGTGCGGAGGGTGAAGGCGAGGTATGCAATGGGCACACCTCTCCTCCACGCTCCTTCCAGCCAGGGGGAGGCCCACAAAACAATAGAACTCATTTTTAAACCCGCATATATGAGCCGATGAAATCATTTTGAACAAAAGAAAAGTCTATTGCAGCGTAAATATTGGATTATTCTTTTTCAGGAATATTGCTCTTTCCGACATATGCTTCCTTATCCACACCACTTAACAAAAAAAAAAAAAAAAGGAAAATGAATTTTTTTAGTTGCTTGTTTCAAGCATTTTCCACAACAGCAAATGTGACTCACCGATAAAAAAAAAATACAAAGAACTAAAAAATTAGTAACTGTGCCAGAGTAAATTGGCCAGTCGTTGAGAAAGAGATGCAACGACGGCCGACCGGCCCCGAGGAGTGGCAATTTTGTCGCGTCGCCGTTTGACGGCGTCACACCCCCCAACAAGACGGTAAGTGCACTGACGTCTTTCTTGAACTCCGTGTAGGTCTTGCTGAGCTCCTGGTGGCACGACACGACGGCAATGCGGTCTCCCCAGGCTTCCGCCGTTTTGTCCACCACATCCCCAGTGGTGCAACAAAGAAGCGGCCGTCCGCCGGGCTTGTGGAAGTAGCTCATGCTCAGCTGCGCCTTCCGAATCGGAGCGCAAGTTTCCATCGGGTCTGCAAGTATGTGCCGTGGGTTTCCGCTCAGTCACGTGCACCAACGTTTACGGGAGAGACCATGCGCTAGATTGTTTTTTTTTTCTTTCGGGAAAGTCATGCCTCCCGCGCAACTGGGTTCACGTGATGGGAAGTAATGCCACCTTGGCAGCTCAAACTCTTTCTGTCACAAAACCTACTGGAGTGGGCCGAAGCAATCATGTGACTCGGTCACATGACGGAAATACGTAAGGTACCGGCAAGTTTGAAATAAAGTGGGGACCAGCTCGCTTCATTAAGATGTTAATGCACTTCGATACTGCTCCAGCAACAACGTGCTTTGAAGGGAGAGACGCTCGAGCGAGCGGCACCGAGGCAACCGGCCTGACCTTGCTTTCTCTTTGTTGCGGCCTTAGCTCCGGGTTGCTTGCCGGCAGCACCACCGTTCTGTAAGGTAAAACAGAAATGACTCAAGGGCACAACGGGACTCTCAATCAGAAACAAGAAAAAGTTGCTTTTGACTGGGAACAACGCATTGTTCAACAGCCTCGATACCCCACCCTACGCAACGAAAAGCTGGGTTGAGGCTGCAGTCGAGTTCTGGTTTCTGATCATTCAACGCGGCCGCCGCCATTTGTGTTCTCAGAGTTTGAAAGCGCCTTTTGCCCGTGGCAGTGAAGCAATCTTTGTCGACTAAACACTGTCTCCAATTGGTGCCAACTGCTACCATTCGGAGACAACCTTCGTTGACGCTTCAACAATCTTCGTTGATGCCAAATGGCACCATTGAAATATCCCAACGAAACGCACAAAGAGAACTGCGATTATCAAACAAGTGAAAAGTGGAAGTTGCACGGGGTTTACTATTTCCATTGAATAAGCGGAAACTGACCAATGGCAAGCGGAGGCTGTATAAATATTTTTTTTATTTTGTTCGAAATTATGCGTTCAGACTGCCAAGTCGCTCCTACTGTTACACAATTCCTGTCGAGTCTGAAAGATCAATCAACAACTGCAGACAGAAAATTTGGAGCTCAATATCCTACAAAAAATATATGCAGTCCCCCCTGCCTTTTGTTTATATATCTTTTTCTTTCTTTTACAATAAAATATGGCATGCTGGGCTAAAGGCCACACTGCACATCACCTGTTTTGGCTGCCCCTGTGGAGGAGGACCGGGCATCATCGTAGGCATGGCCTCTTCTGGGCTCAAGCCTGCCTGAATAGCACGATCCTTGTGCTTTGTTCCTTGAATGTGCTGCACCCAGAAAGGAGATCAATTCTTGCGAGGGAAGTTTCAGCACACAAGGGAAAAAAACAACCACATCTCTACGTGGTGAATGATGTTGATTGGGGCGAAGCTCTGGTGGTGCTTGTCTGCGTAGACGCTGAGCCGCAGCCATGCCGAGCATTTCGTTCGTTTTCCTTCATGTATATAACCACGTTCCATACCACACATTCTCTTTCTGACATGGATGAAAACAAACGAAAGGCTCGGCATGCTGCGGCTCAGCGTCTACGCAGACAAGCACCACCAGAGCTTCGCCCCAATCAACATCATTCAACACGTGGAGGTACGTTTTTTTTTTCTTTTTCCCCCTACACGAGCACGGGAGCACGTGCTCCCGTGCTCGTGACCCGACGGCGGACGGACCTACGGACATGGCTAGCCCCTAAGGAGCTTTGCCCCCAAATAAAACTATCACAATTAAACTTTCTAAAGCACATCTTCCCAAAGCTTGGATTGAAGAAATACAGATCACTGTGCGCTTCCATGTATCACGTAAAGGACGAGACGAGGAAGATGCTACAGCTGCTAAAAATTAAATGTTTCCAAATTTATTTGAGCTTCTTATGGCGATTCTATGGACTGTTAGTACAGTCAAACTCACTTCCAACGATCCCACATATAACGACATATCGGTTATAACGACCAACCACGAAGATGCGGGTCAGGGACATTTCTTTTAAATATTTGCTCTAAAATAATGAAACTAGCTACTGAAGTTTTGTCACCTCTTCTTAAAACAGCTAATAGTTTTAATATAGTTTCTATAGTTTTGTGTTCAGAGGCAGAAACAACTACCATAATATTCCGAGTCAGTGCCTACCCCCCGCCACCTAAAATACATTAAAAAAGAAAGTGGGGTGGGCCAAGTCTAGATGGCTAAGCACAAAAAGTTTTAAAAAAGCTACAAAAACGGCAGTTTTTTGGTACGCACCTAGCGCGGCCACAAAACAGATACATTTAACTCAAAGCTCGAATTAGTTTGATTGTTTTATGCAAAAAATGCTCATGAAAGAATGTTTTACTATCACAAAGTCGGCTGCTTGCATATGCGTGATGCGTGACAATGCAAACGTTTGTTCCGTTTCCAACACTGCTATGTTTTCTTTGTCAGTTAAAAAAAAAAGGTCAATAAGAAAGTAGAAAAACCAACCAGGCACAACGAGTGAGCGAGCGAGCGGACGAAAGAAGCGAGGAAGTGTGATGCTGGGGAAGAAGAAAAGCCGGGGATCGCGTTGGAAAATACTTTGGCGTCGGGCCAAGTTGGGTGCCTTGTCAATCACAAGGAGCAGGCTCTTGTGCAACTTTCTTGTTTGGTGCATAAATGCATGCATGTGTGTGCGGCGCGCTACCAACTCAAGCGGAGGCGGCGTTGCAGCGTGGCACGGACAGCACCACAAAAACCGAGATTGAAATGAGATGCTCTACAAACATCTGTGTGCGGTGTTAGAGCAAATCTTTATTTACCTATTGGCTTTGTCTCAAACATTGCACATCCTTACCAACAGCGGTAGCGACGTTCTGCAAGAGTGACTGAGTATTTCCGGAGACTTTATTTTGGTGGAGACGGACTTTGGTCTTACATTTAGACCTTACTTCTACTCAGTAGCTACATTCCAGGAAAGAGGGCGTTCACTGACCTCACGATCCCTGAATAGGCTACTGCTCGTGTTATTTTTCAGATTTCTTTTTTGTCTAAACTATCTTTTATAAGCAAAACAAGGTTTCATTTTGCTATCTCAATTTTTTTTTCTTTTAGCACGAATGTGCTCCGACTTCGTGGTCACGTAAATAGGGGAGGAAGTACCTACACAAGGTGAAGCGTCTTTCCCTCCTTCGTTTTACTTTGCTACAAATGTCCTCCAACCATAAGGTCCACGACTGCGTCAGTCAGGTAGGATGAATGTTTGCGATCGCAGAGTTCGCGTTGTGGTATTTGTAAAAGTGAATGGTCACCGTTTTTTTTTTTTTCTTTTTTAAATTGATATTTCCCTAAAGAGAGGGGTGGGTGATGATTCGGGATATAGAGGATTTTTATGCTGTTGTTGTTGATTACGGGCTTTGTGGCGAAAAGCTACTATGGCCATACTGCGCCAAGCTAGGGGTTTTTACGCGGACATCTAGGTACATAATTTTTATAACAAGCATGGTGCAATAGCTCATATGCTCCCTGTGAAGTGCAGAGCACCAGTGTCCAGCCAAAAATTGCGTAAAAGTTTTTAAATTTAACAAGGAGAAATTAAGACGTCAGTCTTCGTTTCAGAAGCCCTTTAAAAGATACTTCAATTTTGCAAAAACATAATTAAGGTATTGCAATACCAAATATTTAGTGGCACTCTACGTATCCTCAAGATAATTCATAAAAAAAACTTCATTATGACTAGAAGATTCCAAGTAGCAAAAACTGATTGCACAAACTGTGAAGACAACCCAAAGTTGCAAAACGAGAAAAATGCACTTGAAAGGTCAAGATATGTATACTGATATTAACGACCACTTCTTGTGGAACTATCACATTCGTTATAAGTGGGTTTGACTGTACACGAGAGAGCTCAAGTCCACAGCTTCGAATACTCCGGACAGCAGACTGCTTATACAGAAAAAAGGTTTCTTCAAACCAGTTTGCACACTTATCAGTTTGAAACCTCGGTGAACATTGACTGGCATCCTTGCATGTGCAGTGAAGTACCACTTGAACAAACTTTTATAAAATCCCCCAGTAAAAAAAACACCAAAGTATCCAATGCATTCAGTCGAGTGCACTTTCAATTAAACAAACTTCGTCTTCCGGTCCCTAAAAGTTAGTTCAAGTGTTCACTGCATTCCTGACTACATGAAGTGAGAGTCTCCATGCCAGCAGTTGCACCCGATGACATAAATTTACTCTCCCTCAACGCTGAAACTGTTGCCTCGGCAACCTTTATCCAATTTGCGAATCTATTCCACAGGGTTCTTGCCTTGAAAAAGAAAGCCTACCTCGTCTCTCTGGTATATCGAGTTGAGGACCAGGTTGCACATCTCGCAGAAGAAACTTGGTTTTGCAACCCCTGCCGCAGCACCTGAGCCGTAAGAACAGTTTGTTACAGAAGTGTCAGATGACCCGCTTACAGCAATCACGGAACTTATAAAAACTGGGAACAACCTTTATCTTTAAAATTCTATAACGCATGGAATGCAGTAAAAGAGGGATTTAATATCTTCTTGAGATTTAAAAATAGATTTAATATCTTTTTGTTTAGAAGATGTTAAATTGTCGTTTCTGGGGCAAAGACAAACCTATCATTTTTCAATTAACCCGCTATACCTAGGGGGGAAGCCAGATCAGTGTTTAGGTCGTGTGACAATTTACCCACCAAATTTAGTGGGCAAACTGAATTGGTTTTGAGGTCCCGTGACATCAATTTCCCCGCTGAAATTATTGAGAAAGCTAGATTCGCGTACAGGTCACGCGACATCAAGCAAAGAAGTGCACAAACGGACGGACAGAGAATCTTTTGACATTGGAGGTTCCAATACAAAAGTATTTCTTGCCTTAAAAACAAAACAAAAAACTTGTGTAAATAGTGAAAAGAGATGACACATACCAGCTGCCATGTTGCTAGCTTGCCTCGCCTTCTTGGCAGCCCTTGGTGGCAGGGGCTCCAGTGGGTAGGACCGTCTGTCCATGTGGAAGGGCTCTCTGTCCATGTGGAAGGGCTCTCTGTCCATGTAGAAGGCTCCGCTGTCTATCGGGTATGGTCGCTTCATTCCCATTGGACCACCCTGGAGGCAACGGCGTTGCGTCAGATAAACCAGGCAAAGTTTAGAACCTTTGCGAAATTCAGTCTGGCCACTTTGATCACTATCATCGTTGTAGGTATGGCATTTGTGCCATACTAATGGTGGCCTCCTGGTGACTGATGGTTGAAGTAAGTGGATGAAGCGAGGCCTATAGTTCCAAGACCTACTACATGACAAAGGAATGGAATACAAGAGCAGCACAAGTGCTTGTTTCTAACTTAGGCTCTGTAAATTAGTTGGAGGCACGCAATCAGGACTGAAGCTTCCCTTGATGTATAGAATTTGATCAAGGTGTCTATGTGGGTTGGCTTTTAGTTCTGACCGAATGTATCTTTGTCACCAGTGAAACTGAAAAAGATTGAGAAAGAACTGCACAGCAAAGAACACATTCTTGCCTGTCGTTGACTTGAAAAAGTGACAGCCACCCATAGACTACTACTAGACTACCCCCTTTCTCCCTGGGTTGCTAAGAAGCACCCGAGACGACAGTCTGCGGCGAACCCACGCATTCCGGTAAAACTGAATATCATAATTTTCCAAACACGAAATGAGGCGATAACAGGGCTCATTTTGGGAAGACCACATCCACGCCTTCAAAGACGGCGATTCCTCATTTTTTAGCAAGATCAGGACAGGCCCTTGTGAAAACAGAAGTCTTTCGCTACCCTGACGACCCCGCAGGACTTCCGTTCCATCAAGGCAATATTTATTTGTTTCAGCGGCAGTAGACAGGCTTTTCTTTTTCACTAGTCTGATGCTGCAACCAAATCGTCAGTGCCTTGATGATAAGCTCTTTGAAAAGCTACTAATCCTGAAGTGTAATTTGTTCACTTTTTAAGTTTCCAAATTCTTTTTCAATAAAAATAAACATGTGTATTGCTTCAGAATTCGAATGTTTATACTATTTCAAGCCATACTTGGTACTTGCAATGCCTATGACATTCTTTGAAATGCACTGTATCATTATGCGTGTTTGTGAAACATGGCCTCATTTGAGAAAAAAAGTATTGCAGTATGTATCTATATCTGTATTCGAATCAGGTCGAAACAGGCAGGGGTGGGAATACACCGATCTCACTAAGGGTTAGACGCATGGGTGACGCCACCATAACTTTAGTTCACAAGAGGCAGGTGGCAGTGCACGAGACGGCTCGTGCCTTATCGGACTGGTTGCGCAGAGCTCCAGAGAGGTTGTCACACATGCAGAAAAACTAAGGTTGCCTCGATGCACCGCAGCAGCGGCGGCGAGGCGAAACTGGCTGGTGAGATTGGCCTATTGAAACCGGGATCCCTGGGTTCTGCAGAGCGAGCTTTTACTCCGCGCAATCCGAGCCGCGGCGATATAACGCATGCGACCATCCCCCGGGAACTTGCCTGCCAGACCTTCTACATCCACTAGAAGGGACAATTTGCAGAATGTGCCGCATACATCCCGGCGAATGAATGGGGCGTGGTGAACACCGGACTTCGAACTATGGTGGTGGAAGCGCGTCTCCGACCGGTGCGCGAACCGTGTCCCAAAAAGTGGTTTCTCGATTTCTGCCTCACGACGTCAAAGAAGTGGCACGTCATCGCCGGCTGCGATTCAGGTGGTGTCACGACAGCGGTGGTAAATACGGCAGACGCCCCATTCTGCTGCGAGCCATTCTCCATCCCGACAGTCCACGGAAGCTTCGGAATTGGATATCGGGACCTTGCGACGACTGTGACATTTGCATTTGCTCCCACTTTTCAGTCAGGCTTCTAGAACCGACCGCCGGATTGTGAAATGAAACGACGCTACACGCTGGCTTCTGTGACGTCGTTTGTCAAAGCTTAGGAACTGCTCTGAACGTGCGGGCGAGACGGGACGCCAAACACGCCGGTCGAACGGACACTGCACCCAAACTCCGGTCCTTCTCACCATTGGGGGCCCTCCCCTCATGCGGGGGCCCATCCAGGGGCCGGGTCCCATCCTCGGCGGGAGCATTGGCAGCAGGGGGGGACGGGGCCCCCCTCTTGACGCCGGGGGATGCATGGGCATCCGGGTCTGCCGCATGCCAGGCGGGAGGTCCGTCAGCGTGGGGCTGATGCCCAGGTTCAGGCAGCGTGTCCTGTGCTTCTGGCCGTCCAGGTGGTACTGCAGCTGCTCCTTGGTGTTGGACTGCGTCCCGCAGATGTTGCAGCGCACCAGCTTGAAGGTCGCCGCTGCACCGCCAACGAGCCTCCTTCAATGCCGGAGCCCGGGATATGTGCGCCGTGCGATACCGTCGGCACAAACGCGAACCTGGTGCCGTGGCGTGTTTTGCCCGGAAATGACGTAGATGAACACTGAATTTCGCTGCTTAGTTCGGTGCCCTGAACGAGTACTTTCCACTATGCTATATTTCGTTTTAGCTAAGTCCAGACACAGCCGATGCTACAAGAGTGAGCATGTGACCCTGAACAGCGCTTGCACTGCACAAACGCGCGTGGTTGCCAGGGATGCTGAAAGCCTGGAGCTCGTGCTTGAAGCATCGGCTGCATCTGGACTTAAGCTGAAACAAAGTATAGTATGACACCCTTTTAATACCGAAAGAAACACGGCAAGGACCGGTCGTTGCCAGTTGGCGCAGTGTCGAGCCCTGTACAACATCGGGAAACGCAAACTTTTAAAAGAATAGTTCAATATCGCTCACCACAGCAGAAATAACCTAAATATAAAAACAAATAAAAAAATATGGTTCAGTAGAAAATTTGCATTTTGCAAATTTGCAATGCAATTTGCGTTGGGAAAATAGCTTTTTCAGCTGCACCTGGCAAACAAAAAACTTTCCAGTCAGAAACAATTTTCTGTTTTCACATGCAAGGGCATGCCAGGAACATACATGAGTCAAGGAATAAAATGTTTCTCAAAGATTATCTTTTTTTTAACTGCCCGGATAAGCCATGAATGTCACTGTACTTTTCCCGAAAAAGATAAAATTGGCTAAATATTTTCGTCATGTCCGAAGCAACCTTGACTGCTCGCACATCGTAGTTCACAAATACTCCTATTTCAAAGTCAGTGTCAAAGTGTTGTTCAAATAAGAAGTAATCCTGTCAGTTTCCCATTGGCTAGATGGAGTGCAGAGAACATGTATGCTGCAGAAAGGTGAGAGAGTGAAACGCATGTTGGCCAGCAGGCTCAATCCACAGCTGTCTAAATTGCAACTTGTGGCTTTAATATGGCCTCAACTTTATTTTCCCTGAGAAAATGCATCTTGTGACATGCAAGGCCCAACTAGACATTTAAACAAAAATGCTTAAATGAGCGATATTAGAGCACAAAATATGCATTTTTTCATTCTTACTGTGAAAATATACCATGTCTAACACAGCAAACTCTCCTTTTCAGTAGTGTTACACTTAAATGTAACACACCCATGAGGGAAATCATGCTATAATATTGGCTGCAAGTAAAAAAGAATCAGAAGAAACTCCAAAGCACAGGACACGTTAAAAAGCCAGCCAGATGTGCAAATAATGTGGTATTACAGTGAACTCTAAACAGATCTCTAAAGTGCACTTAGAAGTATTTGTTAAAATTTTATGGGTCAATAAATTTCAGATTAAATGCTATGAGAAAAATTCTAATTGGTAATAAGAGAAAGAACTGCTGAATACATTTTTACAAAGGGCTTTAGGCTGATAATAATTGCACTTGCACATATGGTCGCTTTGGAAAATGACTGTCACGAGCTAAAGGCTTGAAACGATAGAGGTCGTAAAAGCGAAAGAGCCTAGGGCTATTCTAGATCCTTTGCTTAGTAGGCATAAATCAAGGCATTCAGACCAACTGTGAGACAGTTATCAGAAATAAGGGTTCAACACCTGCTGCACTCTGCTCGCACAGCAAGCATCCCACTATGCTACTTACATTGAATCTACACTCAAGCTTGCTGTGTCCCTTCTGCATTTTTGCTCCAACACCTAATTAATAAGTGCCCATGCCCCGTTTCTCGAAATCGTCTCCCTATTTTCGGTGGCCCCTTGATCTGTGTTTTATGGCAAGCGCATGCCATCATGTAAATAGTTTCGAGGGATGTACTGGTAGCCCTTGCAATATGCAGCATGTGCTCCAAACTAAACTTTGAAATAAACCATTTCTTCTTTTTTTAAACAGTCTGCTACTGACAGTGCATAGACACCAAAGAGGCAGCGTTTCCCTTGCAGGCCGCTTTTCGGCTGACAACCCGAATTTACTTTGCATTGACAAAACCCAGAAAAAAAAGGTGACTCAGCAAGACAACTCTGGTATACTGAGTAGAGGTGACATGCCAAGCCCCTTGTAAGAAAAAAACAGGATGTGGTTGAGAATACTAGTATGCAGAGATTGGGGTTGCTTTGAGGAGCCTGAAAAACTGGGAATCAAAAGAAGGCCCTGATCTATGTGTGACCTGTTAGACTGAAATCATGCATGTCGTCTTGACGACATTGAAGCTGTCGCGCTTGCGCATTGGGTATCTCTGCACATAAGTCTTGTTCTTGTGTGTATGGGTGTTCTGGATTAAAGGGCTTTGTAACCCTGGCTACTGGTCATAATATACCCAACACCCAATAACTATTTCAAGTTTGTAACTTGATGCTTCACTAACATATGCATCTCTCAACCTTACTGTAGAATACCATGCATCCACCCGTACAACACTAAGCGCCCATTCCCAAATTTGCAGGATCTGAGAAAATACACGCAGTACATTTATATGTAAAATTGATTCCCCATTTTGTTTGCGATTATCTCGAAAGTTTGAGTGGGCGCTTGCCTGGTATTTTACGGTATTGATCCTTCTGAACTATGTCCCGTACACTGCCTTATAAAATCTTATGGCCATCGAAAAATAGTAGAAACCTAAGTATTTGAGCACAAGTTGTTAATGCTGGTTATCTGTGATAGAAGTGGCATTTGACTTTTTGCAGCAGGTTCTGTAGCAGGCAAAATATTGGTTTGGAGCAGTCACTGCCATTTTCTGGAGCAGATGCCAACATCTGTTAGCACATCACTTGAAAATGAAAAAGTGATTGTATTGCTAAATGGGAGTTCATCAATGACAATGATTGAGGGTTTTTCTTTGATTCTGATTCATATTATTTATTACCTTTTGTAATAAGAAAAGAGAGGATGCAAAAGCAACACAAAACCTCCCTTTTAGGAATAAGGCTTTGGTCAGAGTACCCCCTACTCTGACCAAAGCCTTATTCCTAAAAGGGAGGTATCAAAAAATGGCTGAAAACTAAATTATAGCACAACAATTCAGTTTGGATAAAGTTCTTGCCCCCCCCCCCCCCCCCCCCCACTTTTACACCTGGTACTTCGTTGAGCCTGTGAAGATAATTTTTGTAAAATGCCTGCAAAAACTAGCATATCGGCTAACAAGCTGCAAATATAACCACCTACAAATATTAAAACCTACATTTGTGCTTTAAAAGTGACACTGCTCTTTAGCAGAGTTGGAACCAGTGAAGTCAGTTTGCTGCTTTTCGATCGACAGTTGCACGACATACCTCGACTACCGCAGTTATTCATACATTTTTTTCCTTTCTTGGCGCAGTGTTTCAAGATCAGAGAGAAACCTACAATCAAGACTTAGAAGACATTAGACAGTACTCGACATAATTTCCGAGCCTACCACGCTAACCCATTTCGGCTGCCGCTCATGCGGCAGACATGATAATCAGGTTATCTCATCAGGAGTGCAAGACCTCGCTTATGTGTTATCACAGTAGCTGCCATTCTACTATATTGCAATGTATTTTTGCGACTTTTAGCTTCTGACATCGCTTACATCGTCCGGAAATTTAGAAGACGTTGGCGATCCAACGCGCCAGCGCAGCAACTGGCCACCTCGGTTGACGAACAGTCTGCATACTTTGTTTCACATTAACTCAATGCACAGCCAATGCTACAGGCCAATGGGATCAACGAAATGGCGTCAAAGCAGGACATCATGCCACTTGTCCTTCTTCCCGTACGTATTCTTTCTTCGACTACACCAATAAAGTTCAGCGAATGTCCCGTGACTTGGCTTTTAGGAATGTGTTCGTGGTTGTACGTGTTCAAACCTTCGACCGTGCTCCGATCTAAGACGAGTCAAACCATACGCGAGTCGAGCCGGTGTGAATACATATCTCTACCATTTTCCTTTCCACCTACTTCTCTAAACATTAGAATCGACCAATAATAAATTTGTTTTATGCTCTGTTTAAGCCGACTTTGGCGCAGGTGTGGCACAATTCTTAGCAAAAATGACAATTTGGTGCAAGATGTAGCAGACTTTCATTCATGGTGCAAATGGCATAGCACTTCCATCACTGCATTATTCTACAACACAAGCAAAAATATCACTCGCATTAGTGTCTTTACACGCCCTTACAACAGAGGCCAGCGAGCACTTGAAATTAATTTCATACCTACCAGTATGGTAATAACAATAATCATCCCTGGAGAAGGGGAACAAGGGAGACAAAGTACAAACACAAATCTCCAAACACAGCCAGGTGACTGGTGCGCGACTGACAAAATCCACCTGGTCCTTATACCGAACCAGGGAACTTTCCATTTCCAGTGGAGCGCCCTACCAATTGAGCTAACCCCCAGTTAGACCAAACGGGTTTTAACGGCTGCCACACCAACAAGGGTAAACGGCTTGCATTTTTAGGTTATGACAATAATGCAATGTGTTCCATCAGCAGGAATTACTATTGTATCAGGGTGTCTAGCAAATTATTCTTTTGAAATTCCCTGACTTTTCCAGGTTTTCTGACAATTTCAGGTGAAGTTCCCAGACCACTCTAGAGGCGGTTAAATATATAAGACCATTACAACACAAGGCATTGAGCATTGAGCACAATGAGGATTATTTTTCACGGGCCTAATGTAACTTGCATATTCCGAAATATTTGGGTTCGTCCAGTCAGAGTTAAACAAGCACTTTCTTGCCGCTGACATCATCAGTGAAGAGGCCACTTCCGGAAACACGACGCTCAACCACACACATCAATAACCAAAAGGCAACATAGCCGCCAGATGCACTTTAGGATACTTTCAGCTTAAGGCTTGGATTGAAGTCTGCGGCTTTCCCATTTGTTACTAAATCTAGTAGCTCCAACTGGATCTAGTCTAGTGTCGTGCTCTCAATCCAATCCAATCCATGGCTTTGACTGGATTTGTTGGTCGTCTTTGCATCAGGTAGCACACTGTACATCAGGGGAGCAGAGCGTGCGCCTCACTCTAAGCAGAATTTATTGCCTATATTTCTGCCCCCAAGTCCTCAAGTTTTTGCTCAGGGCACTCAATGGCGTCTCCGGCTCATTTTCCCCGACTGGGCTCGCTTTTTGACAATTTCCCTGACAATTTCTTGATTTTTCCCGGTCAATAAAATTGCCCTGACGATTCCCAGTTTTCCGGGTCACTAGACACCCTGGTTATTCTTGTCCAGCTCACTCGCACCTTTGCATTAATTGCATTACCATCGCTACAGTATGGTGCCTGGAATGCATCTCCGACTGGCGTTTTTACCGCGTCCAAAAATGTGGTCCCTCAATTTCTGCCTGACGACGTCGTACGAGTGTCACGCTGAGGCCGGTCGCGACCCTGGCGGCATCACAGCAGCGGTGGTGGATGTTACAGACGTCTGTTCTGCCACAGGTTTGCTCTTTAGCTTTACAGTCCATGGAAGCTTTGGCAGCCAGGAGTTGAAATGCTGTGATGAGAGCGACACTCGCATCTACTTGTGCTTTTTGCCGGAACTTCTACGGCCAACCACCAGGATCACGACATCCGGCAGCGCGACGCTCCGGCTTTCGTGACGTCATTTGTTTGACGCTTCGGGACCACTTTTGATGAGTGGGTGGGACAAGACGCTAAACACACCAGTCAGGGACACACTCCAGGCACTATACCTATAGCAACACACCAAAAATATGTTATTAATAAAAGATTTTTTTTTTTTAAGTATATATTGTCCCTAATGCGTACCTAAGACATTTCTAAAGCCGTTTATCACCGTCAAACGCCCGGCGAGAACGAATTGATAATTGTTGATAATGATAATAATAATACACCTATAGGAGATGAGTTTGTAAGTGTTACGTGCATGGAGTGAATTTTTTTTTTTCCTGTATCGTCCATTTTTGCTTTGGCCCGTAACAAGACTGGCAGTATTGTGAAAAAAAAAAATGTTGACAATGGCAGAGTGGAGCTACACGATAAGTTGATCCAATGATGTTGGGTCTTGCTGCCATGTAAAATGCTCACATTACAAGTGAACCTTCTGCAGAAGCTGAACTTCTTTGGTTCAATGAAAAATAAAAACTTTGATGTGTACGACTTCGTAAAAACCGGAAACTGCATTTGAGTGTCACTTTACAAAACCGCTGCGACTAGAGGAATGCAGTGAACACCACACATATAACGAAAACCCCACACGTAGGACATGGTTGAACTAATAACAAAGATAGATAAACAAACAAATAAAAGGTTTAGGGTTGCAGCATGCAGGTTTAGGATTGCAGCATTCTGAATTCGGATAAGTGGTAATTGGATGGACAGACTGGCTACATATGTTGGAATGTTGCAGTAAGTTGTCCCTTGCACTACTTTGTGGACCTTAGGGTTCTTCAACACTTTCTAGGTTTTTTTTAGCCGGTCACGTTTGTTTTAGGTAAAGTGTGAGGCGAGGACTGTGAACAAAGCTTGGGAGAATTTGCAGGCATGCATTAGCCAAAATGACAGTTTGCATTTTAGCAGCATGACATGACGGAACAAACCAGCCACCCTAATGATATTCAAGATGGGTCTGTAACTTGCACTGCGGCACGAGGTATGGCACAGTGAAGTTCCTAACCCCAGAGCAAATGGCGTCATCTAGTCCCTAGCTTATTGTTTTTTACACCAAACTTTTCGAAAAATAAAAAATAAAACTGAATAGGGTTTACCTGTACTCATACACATTCTTTATGTGGGGAAATGACTAACCTATGGCCTCTAGGCTGCCATACTTCTCAAGTCGCTCCAGGAGTCGAGTATGCTTACGTCGCCTCAGATGGTTTTCTGCACTTTCTGGAACACTTTCATCGCAGACATCACAGTAGTACGTACCCTTCTGCAAGGAAAAATAATTACATTGTACTTTTAAGAATTTGGTGGCAACAGAACTCTTTCCAGCTCATCCACAGCAAATCAATCAACGGGTTGGAGGGTAAACAGTGAGAACATCTCCATAAAAGCTGATTTATTAAAGAGCAGGAATACAATTAGGTACCTCCAGCATAAAAAGAATATGCGGGCGAGAGAAATAAAGCGAATACTGATAGAAATGTGCGACATAAATCGAGATGTTACCGCGATAGACGAGTCAATCGCTACCTTTTCGGTCTTGGCCGGCACTCCTGCTGCATCCGACGCGTCGTTTTTTTCGCCTTTGGCGGTCCCATCACTGCCGTTTGATGAATCCTGGGGGGCAGCGCCTTCCGGTGCCGAGTCTTGCGCCGTGTTGTCTGCAATCTCGGCGTCTACTGCTGCGGTTTCGGCACTGGATAGAATGAAACGATCTTTTGACTCAATCTCGAACACCGGAATCCAAGCGTTAAAAACCGCAATTCAACAAGCATCGCACTTACGTTGGTTGTGGCTGCTGCTCGACAGCACAATCTCCAGATTCCATTTTCACGATTCCACTTCCTAGAAAGCACGAAAACAAACACAAAAAAAAAAGTTCCGAAGGACGCTGTTATATGGCGTCCGAAGGAATGACGTCGTCAAACCACTCTAAAATGTCAGGAAACACAGCTGCCCTACGCCGTCGAACATGAATACCGGCGTCCCGACTGCGGGATAGAAGTAGGCCTAGCAGAATCAACAAAGCTGCACCCAGCAAAAACGAGTTAAATCAGTTCTTCGCATGCACCGTGAGAATCGACCGCTGCCTCAGCCTTTGTTAGCGGTACGTGTTTACCGACATACTGCTAAATAAGTGCTCGGGACTTCATAGTTATCTCATTAATCGAAGGTTCGCCGCTTGCGCTACGCTGCAAGTGGCGAACCGCGCGGTCGCGTATTTGGGGTATTTTATCGCTCATTTCATAGGAGGATGGAAGAACTTTAAACTTTGCGCTTACCTTCTGGACTATCTGAAAATTTAAAGGTTGGCCGTCCCACTTGCGTAAGTTGAGTAAATACCAGTTAACTGATGAAATAAGTCAGGTACCCGCAGGGCGGCCGGCAATTAGGTTCTTCCAAAGCTTTCGAAGAATGGAGTATGGATTGGCTTCTATTGGCTATGAAAGGTGTTAAACGAATGAGTAGAGAGATAGATTAAAACTAAACTTCTTTATTTAGGCGCCGTCTTGCGTCACCTAGCGGGAACCATCCAGCACATAAATGAAAAGAGAAGAACGAGAGAGAGGGTGGTGTTCTTTTGGGTGGTAAAGTATTTGGTGGTAGCTTGCTGTTTTAGGTGAACAGGAGCAAGGCGGCCGGAAGAGCGCGGAATACCATTTATAGGTGTCCGAAGTCACCAGGCTCGATCTAAAATGGACCGTAAAAATTCATGAATAGGAGGTAAAAGCGCTAAAAAACGACGGACAAGTTGAAGAATGACGAACACCACAGAGCGCTAGCGCTCTGTGGTGTTCGTCATTCTTCAACTTGTCCGTCGTTTTTTAGCGCTTTTACCTCCTATTCATGAATAACCAACTAGCCCAAGTACACACCCTTCTACGTAAAAATTCGTCCAAGGTGTATTTCACAGGTCGGTTTTTTCTTGCAAAATTACAAAGCGTAGCTCTTCTTTTTTTTTTTTTTTGTAAAAAGTAGAGCTAAGAAACAGCGTTACTTGATTAATGAACAGAACGTAAGGGAGCAAGTGAGCTGGTGTATATCAAAAACAAATTAGTCGTTAGTTGTTTATACAGCAGGGGCCCTAAACTCGTCAAATACAAACTTGGAGGCAAAGTTGACGGAGCGCGCCGATTGGGCAATCACGACAATGACTTCGCGTTTTTCTCATCAACATCCAATCGGTGCGCTCCGCGAACTTTCGGCTACAACTTTGTATCTGACGAGTTTAGGGCCCCAGGAGTTTAGTCTGCCAGAAAATGGCGACATTGTTACCCACTGTAGATGAGCAATTTAGCCAGTGCGGTACAGCCGCTAGCCTGGGGTCTTTACGTGCACCACGCAGTAGTGATACACGACCGCACGTCGGTACGATGCTCATCCAGATCGAAACAGGCAGGGGTGGGGCTCGAACCCAGGATCCCTGGGTTCTGCAGCGGGAGCTTTCGCTCCACGCGCGTCGAGCTGGGTGTGCGCTTTAGCCCACTCGACCACCGATTTTTTTTTCTTTATTTCCGGTTAAGACAAAATGAAAAAGCACACAGTCATTCACATACGTACAATTTGTTCAAGAGCGAATCAGCACTGAGCGGCGGTTGCCCAGCGCATTAAAATCTTTTTAAACATACCAACTCATCTAGTATTGGCAACCATTCAGGGGGTTCAGGGGGTGCCACACTTTCAATGAAATTTTCTCTTACAGTTTCGGTATTCCCCCCTTGGAGATCGGTGGTAAACTTGGGTAAACTTCACTAAAAAATAGCGCAAGGACGACGGAAGGAAGAGCGCTTTTTTCTGTCTTCTCGTTCTTCCTTCCGTCGTCCTTGCGCTATTTTTTAGTGATGAAAATGACCTCATCTTGCATCTTTACGAGCGGTTAAGAACCTCCAAACGTAAAAAATAAAGTACATGGGCTATGATATGAAGGGTGCCTCTTTTTATTATTATTTTTTTTTTTTTTGTGCCGGGCGGCTTTTATCGATCACTTGTTATCAAAGGCTTCGAGCGTGCGGATTATGTTTTGAACGTGGAACAAGCATACTCGCACAGAGCAGAAAGAATAAAGCAGTACTTATTAAAACTCGAACTATCCCGTACGAAAATGTAATGGCGAATTCCACTGGGCATTTTGGAGTGCGCCGAGATCGACTTTTCTGGAGCGAGCCTATTTCACTTTGCGATCGGGATCGAGACCGACGTGTTTTCTTGGTCGTTTTGGATTAGCTCCTGCTCCAGATCTCGATCTGGATCCGAGAAAGGTCGCCACGATTTCGGCGGATTCAACCGGAAGCCAGCCTGGCCAGCCCTCGGCGCGCTCGGCGCACACACGTGACTTCCTTTCTCGTGGGGCATCTCGCCTGATCTCGCCTATCTCACCTCAGAAGAAGCACCACCATAGAAGCACGTCGCGGGCTGGGCGGGCTGGGCTCAAGCTTCCTTTGAGGCTTTTACTCTTTGCTCCACCATGCTTCATGGGAAATAAACTATTATTATTATTATTATCATTATTATTATTATTATTATTATTATTATTATTATTATTATTATTATTATTATTATTATTATTGTCTCGACATCAAAAGAATTCGTAATGGCCGCTTGCTCACCCCTTAGCTCGACAGCCGGTTCGTTTTCCAGGAAGGAGAAGAGAAGGTATTTGCCGCGCTACGGGCATTCCGGCAATCTTTGCTAGAAGCGCCTGAGCCATTCCTGTCGCTCGTGCGGCGAACACGTGTTAGCGCCGCGATTGCGAAAACGTCTTCGAAACGACCGCAGCGGCCGCGGGAAGGGGGTTCCCGGGCAGTTGAATGACGGTAAGGCATCCGCCGATCCCGGAGCAGTGGTCATGTTCCACTGGGGATCCGTAGGCGCCGCGACCCCGTTCGGATCGTGTGCTCCAGTCCGGATCTGGTCAACTGATCCCGGCGCGCTCCAAAACGCCATGTTGAATTCGCCATAAGATCGGAGCGGTTCCAGTTCGGATATGCGGGGAGCCGCGCGGTTTTAAACTTGTGGACAGTTCAAGTCCGCGCGATTCTGGGTGTAACCAGTCGGATCCAGTGAGACGTAACGCACTGGAACCGGACGGTGATGGGTGGATCCTAGTGGATCCGATCCGTTCCCCTTGGTTCCAGTAGGGTCTGCTCCCAGCCAGCGGGCGCGCACATGCGTGACTGGAGAAGGGGAGGGGGTCGACGGAGAACTCCCGCGGTCTCTCGCAGATCACGTTTTAGGGACAAGCGCATCCGCTACGCAGGCGCTGCGAGGGGCGTTCTCCGCGCGCGCGCCTCGCTTTGTTTGTTGCAGTTGGCGGCAGCGCTGGCAGCGCTCCGAAAGTTCTTCGCTCTCGTTAGACTGCCGGACGGCGCTCTCCCGGCGGCGACGCGCGCCCATCGTTGCCCTGGATGGATACCCACTGACCTCGTCTTTGAACCCATTGCACTTTGGCTCGACATCTGGATGCGCTTGGCGCTGGTGTGCTTGGTGACAATCAGGGCCGTAACCAGGGGGGGGGGGGGGGGGGGGGGGGGGTTAGAGGGTTCTGATTCCCCCCCGAAATTTTTTTCTGGGTACGGCCCTGGTCGGTGCACTTGCAGCCAGCCGATTTTAATCTCCACCTCTGCGCACGCGCAGTGGCACCGGTCGGCTACAGGGTACCAAACTGGGACCGGTTCTTCGGTTTGCTATAACTCTCCATTATACGCCACCGATGCACATGATTCATAGGCGAAAATAAGACAATAGACAATTTCAAAATGGCCGCCGTTGTCCCCGAAAACCCCCCCCCCCCCCCCCCCCCGAAATTTTTTTCTGGGTACGGCCCTGGTGACAATACTTGGACAACTCGGATACCACTTGTCCGCCGGAACTTTCCGATAAGCTGAACACTGGATACTGTGCTTGTGCATGCTGTGTGTGTGTTCTGTCCAACGTGTTTGTTGACGACGCCTGGACGACCATGTGCGCCTCCGGAATTCCCGCTGAGCTCACCACTGGACTTTACGAAAGTATTTTGCGCGATGCCCTTAGCCGTTACAAGCGAGAGATCGTCGCGATTTCCGACCCAGGCTCTTCCGCCTGGGTCTGAAATCGTGACGATTTTGCTTGTAACGGCTAAGGGCATCGCACGAAATATTTTTGTACCCTCCAGTGCTGAGCGCAGCGGGAATTCCGGCGGCGCAACACCTGGATCTGAAATTGGGGCACCGGTTGCTACCGCGCGTACCAGTGGCTCTGCAGAACCACTGGAACCATCCGGTTCCGCCTGAACCCAAAATTGGGGCACCACCCTTACAAAAATCTGTAGTTAAATTCTTTTGAATTTTTGTTGAAAATTTTCTGGAGTCGTATTGAATTTCTTTTTAAACTTTTTTGATGTTTTTTAGACTTTGTTTTGACAACTTATTTAACTCCTAGTTAAGATTGGCCACTTAAATTTTTTAGAATTCCTTCTTACATACATTCTTTTGAATTACTTCTTACATAAATTTTGTTGAATTCCTTTTGACAAAACCGCAGATTAACGTTAAAAAAACACTAAATTTTTAATATATTTTTTTTAATTTCGTTAGGAAATAGTGTCTTTTTGATACATACACATCCTACAAATAAGCAATGTAAACAAACACGAACACCATCAAGTACTCAACACTAGAAACACAGTCCTGTTGACTGCACCAGAGCCTTATATTGCCTACATATCGAAGGTAATCATTTGGCCAATGACCCCTCAGCACTTACTAAGTTTCCAAGTCTCCGGTCTCCTTCTCGAAAGTCTGTCAAAGGAAAGACAGTGTTTCGAGGTTCGTGGACTCTATCTCTTACTAAAAAGCTTTGGTACAACTAATAATAATTTCGTATAGTCGCTAAAACAACATCCACAAAAACAGCTCATAGAACAAATGTTATCGCTTCTCTGCATAGCACCACTCGGGACGAAGCCAGTCAAGGCGGTTGCTCCACTTTAAAATAGTTATTTTGCTCTTCTTTACTAGTTGAATAGGGTCAATAATGCAACGATAGTCATTTACAAAGTGAGAACGGCAGGGCGTGTTTTTCGAACGCCTGGCCTCCAGCACGCGCCGCATGCCTTCCGTCGTGCTTTGACTGCGCAGTCGAGCTCGAGGGGCGCGAGACGTCGAAGAGTTGTCAAGGATAGAAGGCTCGCGCTGGAGGCAGGAGAACGGAAGCTCCTCCCTACGGTTCTCAACTTGTCAGAGACTATTGAGAAACTTAGTGACTTTTGACATTTAGTCAAGATGTATTATGTTCAATAAAAAGTCAACAGAAAGTCTGTAGCTTTTCTTATGACACTGGCTACAGAAAGTCAACTGAATAATTTAAACACGAAGTAAATAGAACGTCTGCAGTATTTCTGATAACACTTTCAACAGGAAGTCAACAGAAAAAGATCCAACGTAGAGTTA